GCCCAGAGTAAATTAAAACTCAGCTCAGGAACAGCTTTGAAAAGGTGATGATCCACAATCAAACGAACGCTGAAGCCCACCAAGAGTGTGACCCGGACTCACCCTCATGATTTGACGAGGACTTTGGCTTTTAAGTCATTACCTTCATGTTAGGGGTGAGAAGTACTAAGTGAGTGTTCAAGACCCAAACCCGTCAGGCTAATGGTTATCTGATTACTGAGCTGTCTGAACGCTCCTCCTTAACTGGTTTGATTTCGCCACTTTGAGCCGACAAACTAGAAAGGTGTCATCTTGTGTAACTACAAACTCAGGAACATTTGCAAAGTGACGATGTAAATGTGATCAATCTGCGCCGTCTGAGCAATAAAACAGTTTATCTATTTTAGCTTCTTTGAACTGCAAAGAGTTGTGACGCTGTGGAAACAGAATTTGATGGTTTATTTAAAGCAAAACTTGTGCAAAGTCCATAAACCGAGGATTAAAAATAACACTTTCTTCTGAGTGTGAGCCTGCCAACATGTTTTGAAAAAGTAAAGACTTAAGTCAAGATGGGGAGGTTCACCACTTTGTGAGGGACTGTGTGAGCTAATAGATGAACCAACAAACTCTGTTTTTTTATTCATACTTTGCACAGCCTTCCAGGAATCAAGGATACAAAAAAAGTCCCAATAAAAAAATAAAGTTGAATTTGCAGTTTTTGGGTCTACTGATGCTCTTTGTTTGAAAATAAAAAACACTTTATCGCACCTATAATGTTAGCAAAACACAGCTGTATTAAAAGCTAAAGTTAAAGACTCCAAAAATAGTGGTAACTAAAAAGTTCAGTCCCCACATTGTGATTTCTGTTCAGTTTTTAAGAGTTTTTTTTATTCTGATGAGATATCTGTACCTAATTTTGGGTCTCTTTGAGTATTTTAATTAGTTTTAGTGCCAGGGTTCATAAAGCATGAACCTTGGGTCTCAAGAATGTCTTGAAGCTAATACAGAAGTGCTGAAAACTGCAGTTCCTCAGTTGTCCACTTGAGGCTGGCTGCATAAGCACCAGAAGCCACATACACACCCATTTGAAAAAGCCAATCTTTTTAGCAAAGACGATACTCAAAGAACTGATTTGGTCTGAAGAGATCATTTTTGATTCACATACATGGTCAGGGGGGTGAATTTCTTTTATAACTTGTCAGAGTTTCACACAATAAGAGGCGTGGCTCCCTTGACTGACAGGCGGTCACAGTATAACTGCGAGCGAGGAGGCAAAAGGCCCATCTCAACCCTGCCTTCTTGCCCCAAACATGGTCAAACAAAAGTTAGGCTGGGTCAGCATTTCCAATATGGTGTCCACTGTCTGTAGGCTTCAGAACTCTGATTTGGAAACTAATGGGTGAGATCACTGAGGCAAAGTCCGTGTATGATTCGAAATGAAGGAAATAATCTGGGTGGAGAGTCAAACACCAACTATTAAGACATCAGCTGCCATCAACTAAAAAATCCAATGTGAAAGTACAAAATTGTGCTGATTTACATTGATGATCGTTTATATTTGAGGTTGACCTTGTAGGTTAGAGTGATTATAAATATTTCCAACATCGTTAGAGACCCTAATCCTGACTCCAGTTTCAGTTTTGAAGGATAGAATAGACCGGGTCACTTATGCAGCTCCCGATGTTGTGTCTTACAATTTAAGTTCAACAATAAGTCGCAGTGGAATGCATCAGCTGCACAAAAGTCCTCTTTTCCCTGTCACGAAAGGTCCCACAGCAAGTTGGAGTGGAGTCCCTCCTTGAGCTGCCTCGGCTCTGGTAAGCTAGCCTGAACCTGCACTTCCACTCATCCTAATCGCTGAGCCCAATCCATTCCCCTGTCTAGCACCTCTTCAGAGGCCGCTCGCCCCTTTGTTCTGACAATACACAAACGACCATTCAAATGGAGGGACTCTGTAATCAGTGAAATACTAGCCTCTGGGCTTTGTAGATAGAAAAAAAAGGGAGAGAAGGAGCAGCATAGAAAGAGGAGAGAAAGAGAGAGAGAAAATCCATCCATGACCAATCAAGTCTAACTACCTGTCTGGCTTTTTAGCTGCAGATGTTATTTAGAAAAGAGGGGAAAAAATGTGCCCGTTCCAGATGTAAGATGTACAAAGAGAAGGCAGGCTGGTACCTCCACCCACCGAGAAAAAGGCCGAACCTTTCCACACCCATACAGCTTTGATATGGCTGAGGTTGTTTTTGCATTGCATCACCTTCTGCTAAATTTAGACTGAAAACAGGATTTTAAAAAAATATGATTTATGAGGTTTCTCTGTCAAAGCATGTTGGGATGTTGCTGGATTCCTGGTGTTGACCTTAACCTTGAAAGGTTCATGATAATTCATGCAGGTAAATAAAAGTGTAAATATTCACATCAATGGCCTCGTGTTTTGTGCAAACACCTTTGGAGAATACAAGTTTTAGAGACAGAGCTGGGTGAGAATAAAGAAGACTGAACATTGACTTGTCTTTTAATGAAATGCCTTATTTCAGCTCGTGCAACACAATGCAAATGCTTTAAAAATCCCAACTATAGGAATTACCTGAAATCACAAGTAACTGAAAGCATTATGAGAGCATGCATTAGTTTGAGGAAGGTGAGCAATACCAAAGCAGTTGCATAATAGTTGTTTCCTTTGTGTTTGTGTATTTTATCAATTTAGTTTCAATCTGCAATAAACAAGCAGGGGCGCAATCAGTACACACATGGTCAGTCATTTAAGGTGTGTATTGTGCTTTCTAACCTGCTGGGTAGGGTGCTGTTGTCTGCATGGTAACATCTTCTTCTATCTTCTACCCCCCAAATTAAGAAAACTACATTTCTCCCTTACCTTCAAAGACTGAATGTTTGATTTTACGGTTGAAAATTGAGGCCTCAGTGTCTTCAAATCAGACTGTTGGAGAGAAAGAAAGCAAACACTGTGAAACAGCATCACAAACACTCAGCTCAGTTTACACTCGATCAGGTTTGAATTCTGGTGTTCATGAAAAATGAACAAATATCTAAAAGTGAGCCAAACCGCAGCCGGTGAGGTAGTTGGATTTAAGTCTTTTGGACAGTTTTACAGTGTATGCAATTTTTCCAAATTGATATGGCAAGAAAATAAAAAAAGGAGTAGCAGAGCTTACACAAAGGCTGTTAAACCAGTAAATCAGGTTAAATCCCAGTGCAGGGTTGGTGAAAGTGCAAGACAGGTCAAGAAATGCATTAGCTCAACCCATATTAAGTGCAGCAATGTTTTGCATCACAAGTAGTAAGTCATGCCTTCTCTGTGCCCCGCTTATGAAATCCATTTTTGAAGATGAATCATAATTATCAATAGCCCTGCAGCTTTTTGTACTCTTGCAGAGAAGGAGCATGAGGTTGAGAAAATGCGTGTATCTACAGCATGTGTGTTGGTTTTCCGAGGCTAATAGATGCACTCTTAACTGCTACTGGTACAAATGCTCTTAGCGGTGGAAATCTTTACTTATTTTAGTGCTAAACTACAGAATATCAAAGGATGAAGAACATCTCAATTATCTTTAAGAGCCTCAGCCGTAGGTTTCTAAAGAGTGTTTTGAAGTTTGACTGCAGATCTATGTAGATATATTTCTGATTTTGGCTGATGTTGGTATTTATGCAGAATAAAGCTCAGCCTGATGTGCACCTCCTGACAAATTTAAACATGTGTTGTAAAAATGCAAACTGCAAGCTCTTTGACCGGTCTGTTTGGGAGTGGATAACTCTTGAATCGCTGCCGTCCTGATGTCACGCGACATCTCCTCTCTTTTATTCTCTGCAATAATTGTAGTACAATCAGCTGCTGCACAAACCTATCAGCTCTAATTCCTACATATCATACTCGGACTGGTTGCCATGGTTTCTTAAAATTCAAGAAGAGAATCTGGTGAATCTGGAAAGTGGCAAAATAGCGAACACAGACCTCGCATTGCCTATTTTATGGCGGAGTATTTCAGTGTGGACTCCCCAATGCACTCCAGTACTTAACAATGTAGCTCTTACAACAGCTTCAGGTTCTGTGGTGTCGATACAGCACACAGTCAACGCAGAAGTACAAATTAGGCTTTCATCCAATTTAAGTGTAGAAATTTTGAGAATGTGGAGAAACTTGGAAAAGCCGTCTCGACATTTAAAAATGATTAGCCTACATGCAAATATTTTTTCTCAAAACTTAAGATCTTGAACTAGTATCAAAACTTATGGTGCATTCCAGTTGTACTCGGAAGTAGGGATTTCTGAGCTCTGAGTCGGAACTTTCAACTGGAACGACACCCGAGGTTGGATTTCTGACTTGGAAAGTCGGATGATCCACACAACGACATTTAAAGATGGTGGCGCCGGTTGTAAACAGTAAGTACACAGAAAAAATAGGCTACCTTCTGTGCCTTTGTGTTTCCTCTTTATCCACCATGTTTGTCCAGAAGTTGTTTATATTCGGACAAGGAAAGTGGGAGAATAACTTTTGTAGATGTAGCCATCTTGTTCCCGCTTCCATTTTTGGCCGTTGGCTTTTTGCCAACCTAGTAACCGAAACACTGATAACTCGGGTGTGACGTCATTCCCAGCTCCGACTTCCAAGGTAAATGGAACGCACCATTAGTGCCGAAATTCGCCTTGAAATTTCACTTTTACATTAGACGAAATATGGAGTCTCAACTTCAGATCTCATTCAAAGACGACATATCTGATATCAAAGAGGGTTAGCAGTCAGATGGATCAGTTTCCTCTTTCTGAGCATTTTTGTGACATAAACATGTTTTGCTGATGAATTATGCATAAAGTTCATTCTGTTCCTTCCTGGGGCAAGTGGAGACTGTTTCAAAGTCAGAGAGGGGGAGCCCACCAGCACTTCTCTAAATTTCCTTTATTACAAAACGGAAGCCCTCACCTCGTTTAAACCTGGAATAAAACACGCTGAGTGAACTGTGCTGATGTCAGGTGGGAGAACATGCCAAGTGCACATCGGCCTCTCAGGGCTTGGGGGCTTGAGTCATTACAGATATCAGCTTTCTGAAGTTTGGGGACTTACAAATTACCTTGTTGAACCACACTGGATTGAGTGAGGGATGTCTGTCAAAAATATGATGAAGGTGCTGCCTGAGGCTGCTGCTGATCTTGGACGGATAAGTTTAAAGCAGATAGATGAGCGTTCAGTGGAATTAACCCGTACTGAAGTGGAGACTGCGTTGAAATTAATGCCACCCTACAGCTTCTGGACTTCTCCAAACATCCCTGAAAGAGAGCTTGAAAAGACATCTCCTCATGATCACTTGGGCCTGGCCCTGAACTGACCCTTTCTGATCCATCTTAGCTGTGGAGGCTAAAACCTTGTGCATATTGATTGTTGGAGGTGAGTTATAGATAATGATTGTCAAAGAGGCGTGAAGATGGGATTAAGGCCCCGTCCACATGGAAACAAATTCAGGAATACACGCAAAAGTTGATTGTTGTATCGGCATCCATCCACATGGAAATGGCATTTCAGGTGACTGTAAACGATACTTTTTTAAAACATAGTAGATAAATCCACGCTTCATGTCCGTGTGGAGGCCTATCCGGATCTTTCTTGAAACAATTATGTCACACACGGAATAACACTCTTAATGTGCCTGTGAAAGCCCGGCAAACACAACTAATGTACACGGGTTTCAGCAAGCCAAATTTAAGACTTTTTAAAGACCGTAATGAATCCAATTTAAGACCCATTCAACACCCATACCAGCAAAAAAGTACAAAAAACATAAAGAAAAATCTGAACATTTTACGTTACTTCAAATCAATCTTTGTTCCTATGGCAAGTTATTTTTAGAGTTAATACATATTTAAGATCTTTCAAAATCGTCTTTAAGACATTTTATGAGATTTTAAGAGAATTTTAGACATTTTAAGACTTTTTAAGACCCTGCAGATACCCTGCATATGTGTGTGAAGCTCCTCTTGTGGGTCTACCCTTGGGCTTCTGCAACACCACACCAATAATACACTGTTGTGGAACCACTAAGACAGACACAGGTGTGATGATGGTGAAGCTTCATCACTGGACTTTTGCAGACTCACAATAAAAGGAGTGACTTGAATAGTTTGGGAAATCAAACCACATAAATTACAAGAATAGGAAGTAGTAGAACCATCTCAGGTACTCTTACTTTCCTACTTCCTGTCTTAAAGATAAAGCAGGTGAGGTAGTCTTAATATATCCGTTTCATCATTGCTGGGAAATTCCCATCCACCTCCTGTTTCTTTCCACTTTGAAGCTGTCTAGCTGCCTCAGTGATCCCTGATAGCCAAATAGGTCAGGTCCTGCATAGAAGCTTCTGTTTAAGTCACTATTGGGGAGCATCAGCAGTTCAGGTTAGTAGCTCTTTTAACAGTCTGAGCACGGACAGCGGGAATCACGAGAACTCACAAGAACCTGCGGAATCACATGCAATCGCTCAATAACAAGTTGTCTCCATAAAGACAGCCACATAACCATATAAGCAGTATATCGTGTCCTTCAAGGGGAGGGAATCCACTCCTAGACTTGTAGAATCAGCATCTCCTCATCCATGGTGTCATCGGGGTGAAACAATTGTTTGTCCCTGTCTGTTTGCATGGTGTGAAATATGATCCGCCTGAAAGATGTAGTGTTTTATTTTGAAAAGAAGCCGGATGTTTTATTTTGTGTCTGAGCCCGACTTCCTTTCCAGCACAGGCTAATCTGTGCTCAATTTATGTCGCGGCGTCCGGAAAAAATAGAACTCTGGCGATCGGCTGTGGAGTCCGCTGAACCGCAGCGAAATGGAAAGAAGCCGTTGCGATCGGCGCATATGGCCTTTTCGCAGCCGTTTCGGATGTGGTGGAAATTGGGGGTTAGTTCCCACAGAGATGGCTGTTTACATACTTGTATGACCCATCATACTTCTGAAAGACTTCACCAATGCAAACCCTGGACTACAAGATACCACCAAGGGCCTCAGTAACTTTTATCAGTTTTTGCTGGCAGATGGATCATGAGCTGCTGCCCCTCTTAATGATGCACCACTGACTTCAGGTAGATCATACTCGTCAAGGTAGAAATGAGTCGGGTTCTACAAGACAGTGACACAGGTGTCAACACATACTGTGCAGCTCTGATTGGTTGTAGGTCTTTACAGCTTTCTCAAAGGCAATTCTGCAGGTGACCCCCTGAAATGAATGAAGCAGATCCGGATCCGTTCAACAGAGGTTTAAACTAATCTGGTCTACATCAAATTTGGATTTGAGGTCATGGTTTAGAAACTGAGTTTAAATCTTCTGACTGAACACATTTCTCAGTTTTTGTAGCTTAAATCAACCAGGCTGGTCCACTAAGGTCTTATTTTTTGGTTCAGCAAATGTAGGCTAAAGTCAGATGTTGCAGAGCATTAAATATTAGAGCAGTACAGCCAGGTGTTATGATTGTTATTAAACTGAATATAAAACTGAGTGTTACACAACTTGGCATCTGTCATGACATTTTTGGAATACCATGTTCTGAAAAATGCTGTGCTGCACAATAACATTATTATTCTCAGTCATACCCTCCAAACTTCAACTTAACAGTTAAAAGCCTTTTTTTTAAGTTAAATAAGAATCATTTTATCCAAAAAGCCTTTTTTTTTTAAACCTTTATTTTCTTAATTTTTCATCTTACGGAAGTAAAAATCTTGGAATTGAGACTAGAGAGTAACATTGAGTTCCCTTTAGCAGCCCTTAAGCCCTCAAACTCCCCCAGATATGAGCCTGACACTCAGAAGCCTCTCCTCTATGTTGAAGGAAACAAGCTCAGAGTTTGTGGGCAGAGGAATGCAGCTCACATCTTTGCCATAGCAGCCGTAGAGGTAATGCGCTCGCGTGTTGGCGCTTGTCGAGGTGAGCGCACCTCCCTCTTCTGTATTAATAACCGCATGTCCTATTGCTGTACCAACTGGGCTGTGTTTTACTGGGCCAGGGTTTGCTTACGGGAAGATAGATGATGAACTCCCCCACCTCTTCCTCTAATTTACACAATTACTTCCCCTGATGTCTGTTTTTGCTGATGTGATCCCAATCCATGACTGAACAACCCCCGCACATCCCGAGCCTCCGTGTTCTCGACGCCAAAAGCATACCTGACAAAGAAATTGCAGAAGTCACTCCAACAATCGTCGAAATGGAGTAAGATTTCAGACCGGGGTTGTTAAAAATAGCTCTGTTTAGTATTCACACTGTTCATGATAATGCCACAGAGTTCAATCCTGACAGGAGGAGAAAAAAATCCCTGCTTTTTTTGTGTGAAGAGAAATGTTTACATAAGCGCATCATCCGTGACAATTGACTTAAACATAGAGGGAATTGTTATTAAGATACAGTCAACTGTCAAAATCTTGCCGTGAAAGAGAAAATCACTGGTGATGACAATGATGGCTTCCTTTCTGTCTAATATAAACATACCAGCATGATCACTTATTCCCCCCAGGGCGAAGTCATTGTTCCATTTTGAAAGCTCTCTGTGAATGCTTGAAATGTTCCCTTGATATTTTTTCCCTCTGCTCGTTTATTTGCTTGTATCCAGGTGATGTGCCAACCTGTCACATCAAGCACAGACGGCCTTATTTCCTCAGAGCAAAGGTCAAAACAATTGTCATGGGAGGGATGGGTGTGTGTTTGGAGATGTGAGGGGGGGCCGTAGAGATGTGTGTGTGAGCTGAGTGTGCTGGGGGGTGATAGGTGAAGTTCATACTACCTGAGGAAACTGACAATGTGCTCTCTGATTCAGGGCTTTGACACAAGTTTGGGAAATTTTCCATAAGGCTGCAATTTAAAAAAGAAAGGATCTCATTGGTTGAAAGAAAAACTACAAGAGCCAGTCATCCCTTCGCCATGAAAACTCTTCATTAAGAATTAGCTGGATTGTTTAAGGCCAAAACAGCCAATCTCATCCCCTATGCCCATCTATCAGGTAAAGGGTAATTAAGTTCAAACACCCAGAAATCAAAGTTCACTTTCCCCGCCACTTGGGGCCGCCAAAGTGCAAAAGCAGCCAGCCCGGCTTTAAAAAGAAGACTCCCTTTAAAACACATCTGCATGTCTCATTCTGGAGAACAAATCCGAAACCGCTCTCAGTCCTCACTCTTTCTTAATAACAACACTTATCACCAGCTACAGAGCTGACCGCATGTCTAAACCGCAGAATTATTACATGGTATTAACACGTGTTAAGAACACCTGTTGTTGTGAAGCACACTTTTTCAAACTAGACGCACAGATGTGTTTAAAATCACACATCCCTTTGGGTTGTGAGAAAAAGAAAAAAAGGGCGGAAATGTACATGCCTGCAGAGACATGACCTTACATTTCTTTCCACCACGGATGAGTGCTAAAAATATTGTCCTCAATTAAAGGTCCTGCAGCTAAACCCTGGAATTACAAACTGAATGATAAAACAGGACGTCGTTGAGCATTTGCAAAACATATCATCCGGCGAGAGAGAGAAAACCAGAGTGAAAAGATGCAGGACAAAACTCTCTAAAGTGACATTACCTCAGAAAACCCTCATAATTAAGGAGGGCTTAGTTGCCATGCACTGTTGCTTTCAGCTATCAAAACTGGAGTTGTGAAAACACATGGCATAGGCGTTGTCAGCGCAGTGATATAGTCAGTCTGACAGTCGTGTTAGCATTCCCTGAAGGCATTTTAAAGAACAGTGTAGGATGAGGTTGCATAATCAGTGCCTAGGATTCATGGAGAAGAGCGCCTGGTCTTTAAGAGAGATAAACTGACACTTCCAAGACGTCTAGAGAGAAGCATGTGGAGTAACACTCTTGGCAGCGATGCGAGTGATTGTATCAAATAGAAATTTGTAGCTTAATTGATACTCGTTGCAACAAGTCGCATGAGCAAAGGAGGTCAAAGCGGAGGCAAAATGCATCTATATGTTGTTGCCAGTTTGAGGATTTAAGGTTCTTCTATTCATAATTAAAAAACCACAACAAGCTCCTGATCAATCTCAACTTCAGTTAATTTTGTGTTTTGTATTAACTTTTCAAGCATGAGACAAAACAAGGACAGTCAAACAAAGCCAATCTTCAATCCCCAGCTGCATCATCGAGTTTTGGCTGCCCATTAACCTGCAGCCGGGTTCCCAGGTTCCCCCCCCGCTGAGACCACTTTTGATAGACCGCAGCAGAAAACATCCAACAAGTGCTGCACTTTTGGAGATGCTCTGATCCAGCTGTCAAGACTTTTCAAAGTCGTTCACATCCTTAATCTTGACCATTTTTCAACTCCAGCATATCAACTTTGAGGACAACTTGCTGCAGAACATATCCCACCTTCTGACAGGATAATCCAAGACAATCCATGTCTTTCAATTCACCTATCAGTGCTCACAATGTTACAGCTGATGGGTGCATGTTTACAAAACTCCACAAAAATGTCACCAGCTGTTTTAAAGGCACAGTATGTAGACATGGGAATATCTAGCAGACTCATAACAGATCCAAACACTGCCTAGCTCAGCCGATTGGTAAGTCAACAATGGCATTGGTGGACAAATATTTCCACATAAAATATTCGGAATAAATGATAAATTTGACCGCCAAAGTCAGCAGGAGAAGATGCTTTGTTAAAAACCACTGCTAAAATATGTAGAGGATAAGAAAAGCAGAGACTGCTTTGTCCACAGGGGGCACTAAAGTGGACACAAACCGAAGTTCTTCACAGGAGCTTTAAATCACATTTGTATGACTGTTTGGTATTTAGAGCAGTTTTGCCTATTTTAAAATAGATTTTTCATAAAATCTCATTATTCCCTGAAGTTGTGATTCATTATTTCTTTACCATGATGTACACGCAACTTCTGATGCTCTCATTTCAAAGAATAGACATGTTTGTTAGTGCTGCACTGCCCTGGAGCATTACCAATGATTCACAGCGGATCAAAGAATATTTTGTTAATCCCACGAGCAAACACACTCAAACGCACACTCACACACACACACACACTGACTAAAAGCTTTTAATAAGGCAGATGGCTGGTTTTGTTCAGCACAAACTTCCTGTCTTGTGGTACTCACACTTCCTTCATGGGGGGGATAAGAACACTCACAAACTAAACACACCTGTTCCCCTTAGAGCACTCTCTCTCAGACACACACAAAAATACACACACACAGATGATGGTCCCCAGATGGAGAATAGACTGTCGTGACTGTCCTGTCCCGGATCATGTAACTGCTGCATCAGAGAAAAGGGCGACATTTCCCTAATGGCCTGATGGTGTGTCAGTGATACCTGCAGTCTCACCTGAACAGCATGTCTGTTTGCTACTCTTGTCATAAGGCCCCAAAGCCTGATTTTTACCTCTGTTCTAAATCTGCGGTATCTCAGAAGCCTGTTTGTCGTCTGATATGCACCTTCTCAAACTTGTAACTGCGCACAATGCAGACCAAAAGCCCAGTGATTGTTTTGGTTTGCATTTAAAGTATGGCAGGGCTGCAGAAATTATGCAATGTTAGCATCATAATGCACTTAAGACTTGCAGTCATGTTAGAGGTATACTTAGCTGAAATACTTATTTTATCTTTGCTGAATCTTGCAGCTTTTTTGCCAACAAGAATCTGCTGAAAATCATCTTTATGTACCTGCTTCCACAGGTAAGATCTCCTCCTGCAGCAGACTGTCTGAGGATCTTTACTCCACTTTACTCTCATCTGTTTTTGTGTCTGTTTCAGGATTCTGGTGTGTGCTTCTGCGTGTGTCAGTCAATACCTGCAGGCTGGTTCAGTCAAATCCCGAACTGGAATTCAAGTCAACCACAAAGGGGGGATTTCCACGTGCCTCTCGGTTGCCTAGTTTGGAACATAAAGTCGTGCGTCATCCCGTGGCTGCATCCGCTAGTGCGCCTCACTTTCTCCAGGCTACGGGACAGAAACTGTTCAGCTGGCTATGAAGTAATGCCTGACTCACACTTCAGGTAAAAGCTTAATCAGTTAATATCATTATGAAGTCTGGCTTTGAAGTTAAGGCCTGGATACCAGTGCCACCCAGTGGTGACAACACAGATAGGCGGTTATTAATTAAAGGAAAAGTTCACTCTTTTTCAGCTTTATCTTTAACAATACTCACCAGGCAGTAGGGTTGGAAGAGAAAACTCAGTATTATCATTTCCCTCCTTAATGTATACACCTGGACAGGTAATGAAAAAACAGTCAAATTGATTAACAACAGAAAACAGGATTCTAGACTTGGTCCAAATTCAAGTTATCAAGCTTGTTCATATATTTGTATCATTCTTGTAGGTGTTCGAACTAAAGTCATAGGCCACTCTGACCTTAAAAGTGACAAAGCAGACACATAACATTATTAAGAAATCTTATTGAAATAAAAAAAAATCAGCTTTGTTTTACAAATGCGTCAAAATGTGGGACTTAAAACCAGCAGAGGTTGATTTTATTCGGGTAAAAGTTACAGGTATGATAAAAAAAATTACAGATTGGACACTTTCATTTCAACAACCATCAAGAATGAAATTCACCACCAGCAGTCATGCATCCACAGATCAATGAAGTTTGACTAAACTGATATTATGCACTCTCTAGATGAGTCGGGACAGCCATCATCTACTCAAACCAAATCAGATAAAAGTACAGTTACATTTTTTTTTTTTTACAAATATGAGCAGCAGAGTCTTTAAAGGTACAGTACGTAGAATATAGTGCTATTTAGTAGGAGAGATTTGGTGAAAATGGATGTTAAAAGAATCATATATATTTACCTTAATATAAAAAACACCATCTATCCACAGAAGCTGCTCAATGTAGCAACCAAGGTTTTCCAGATACTGCACCAGTTGGAAGAGGATGTTAAGAGAATAGAGGATGTTTGTTGTTTTGTACTGACTGATGTTTCTGATGGTAAAAAAAAAATAGAGCTGAGGTGTGAGCAGGGGAGTATCTAAAAAAAAACCTGACCGCTAGATATCACTAAATATCCCCATTTCTACACACTGTACCTTTAAAAGTCGAATCAAATTGAGGATACCTCCCAATATAGTGTTGATTTCAGTAAGTCATTTAGGTGAAATTATACCTGACAAACAAAAACAGGGGGTCATTGTGTGGATACATCTTGAATATTTCACAGCCTGATACAGTGACAGAACCTACAACTTCTATGCTGCTCTAAACATGATCTTTTTACTGCAAACAGCTTTTTAGAGAATTGCTCATTTTTTTCTGTACATGCTTAACACCTTTTTTTCCATTTAGGATTCATTCAGGATGCACAATTTTTTTTTTGCAAATATCAGTGTCAGAAAATAAATTTTTTCCACTGACAAGTACAGCCTGCAAATCTTCAACAAGTCAGCTGTTTGGAGGTATTTTGGAGTGTCAGAAACAGACTTCAAAATGGGTATTTGGGAAGCACAGGTAAACAACATCCCTTTAATGCTCATGATTTAATTGTACAAATAAAGAACTGTCAGTCTGAGGAGCACCAAGAGTTTCTGGAAAGTAAGAACAGAAAAAACTCGTCAGCAGCCTCGACTTCAGTCATTCGGCAAAGCTAAGAAATTTAGCAAGCACCACCACCCAGGTAGAGATGCTTGTCAAGAAGATGACTGGTGCACAATGTGGGGGAAGATGCAGGTTTGTGCAGAATAATCATGCCCTTGGATTCGTATCAGTATTGGTGTTAACCAAAATGCATTCAAGACTAAGTATATCTGACATCTGCAAAAAAAACAAAAAACAAATAATGCATCCCTAAGATTCACCACAACCACGTATTACATTTGGACAAAATTATGTATAAAAACCGGCATCAAAACTATTCAGTATTTAATCAAAATGAAAGGAAGCAGAGTTAAAATGCAATGACAGGAAATAAAAATGAGAAAGTAATTCAAACATTAAAAATAATCACAAAAACACATCTAGTCCAAACTACCAATCACAACTTTTCATACACAGATCATGAAAATAGATCCAAGCTGCAAAACCAGCGATTAGCGAGGGCGGATTAAGCATACATTTCAACAACATGACTGTTCAGCTGCCGTACATGTAAATAAAAGCAAAACATGTATTTACAGTAAGAAGAAATCATTAGGTTTGATGACAGGGGAATATAAAAAAAAGTACTGATGACCGACTTCTTAAGGATGCATTTGTAAGTCTATGATAAATGCTGCTCTACATAAAACTGACTTTTCCGGCTCCAATTGAAATAGTAACGACAGGGGAAAGTTATCAGAGTAACTTCATACACTTAAATTATTCGACACAGTGCAGTTTATAGCGAAGGAATCTGAAATATCTTTCACAGACAGCAGGATTGTTGGACCGAGCAATTTGATTGGTTAAAGATGGTATCCCACTGCCAACATTTGGCTCATAAAAGACATCATACAGGATCATAAACACATCATACGCAGAGCCAGTGTGTGCGCGCTTATTGTCACCAGAGCGCTGATACACAAGAGTGCAAACAATTACGGGGTTGAGTTCTTTATGAGGTTTCTGCAACGGTGCCGTCATGTCACTCTGATATATGATTATGTTGTAATAAATAAGATAATCTGTGTTAATCATGGGCTTGTAATAAGTTTTTAGTGCATTAGAGTCAGCTGACATGCACTGAAAACAGTGTCGGTTCCACGCCATAAAAACACTCCTGGAGCTAGTTAGTCTTGTTTTTAATTTTATGTATGCTTTGTTTATGACTTCACAGAAAAAAATGGGCATCTGTGTTGGTTTTATAGACCTCATAATTCTCTTTATAAACTTTTGTGGATGGTTCTTATGAACACTTCTGCTGTAATCACTGTAATAATGACCCCCCTTAGATTATGACACATGTTCGCAGGCTTGATATGAATTCATACCAGCTGACTGTATCCAAACGGCATTTTTCTAATATTTGCAGGTTCTGTGTGTTTAGATGGAGCTAAAATAAACAGAGATAGACGTGGAGTGAAGTATTAAAACATGAAGCGATAACACTGCTCTGGTGCAGAAATGACAGATAGGATTAAATGTTTCTCCTCAACAGTTGAACCAGTAAAGATATGCACCAGTAGAGAAGTTCAAACTTCTCACAGGCATGAAGATATGTGCATCTTGTTGTTTACAGATTGAATCTTGCCTTTTTTTTATATGAAATCTTTCTAGAGCAGCTGATTCTTTTGGCTTATTTGCTTTTTGGTGTTGTTGGTGTTTGAGTTTGAAAATATTTGAACTAAACTGATACGATAAAAAAAAAAAAAAAGTTATTTCCCCACACTGACCAATTCCTGTCCATTATCTATGAAGCAGTAATGTGAATTATGAGTACAATCTGTCAGCATGTTTCAAGAGCCAGACTCTAAAGTAAAACACCATGAAAACACCTTACAGGACTTATGTGTCATCACTGTCCCCGTCTGCTGTCTTAACCGTCTTTGTATTTATGGCTCAAATTCACACAAATGGGACTCGGGTATGTCTCTGTTTACAGTACAGATATTTAAAGGCACATTCTGCAATATCTCCTATTGCATTGTTGACTTCAGGACACACAGTGTCATGGATGTGAAGCACCTAAACCAGGCCCGACCAATGGCATCAGGTTGCGAAGCTGCGGTTACGATGCGTACATCAATCTCTCCGTCTATAGGTGAGGAAAGGAAAACCTCTGGAGTGTGAAAGCTGCTCCACCTGCACACACTTCATAACTGCTGATTAACATTAATATCATACATCAACGAGCCTTTACTAACATCACAGACACAGAGGGTGTCTGTGCAAAGCAGTTTGAGATCCATCAGCTTTATGTTAAAAATAAGGCTATAAGTAAATTTTTTCATGACTGTGGAGCCGATTGATTCAGAGCTCCCCCTACTGGCTGGCTGCAGAGTAAAGGTCCTTACACACCTGGAACGACGCAAATATACGACGCAAAATTGCTTAATATTCAGAGGCCAATTTTGATGCGCCTGACTATACTCATCCAGCGTGATGCGATATTGCGACTTTCCGGGGGGAAAAAAGAGACACGTGTTCAGTTCTGATCAGACACTAGTGTTGAGATGGCTGTCTGTCATGATAGCATGTACTGAGTAAGGGGCCAGAACCAGATAAGCACATTAAACTATTATCTATAAACGTAAGGTAACAACCGCGACCTAATGGTGAAAGCAACGCGATTATGTTTGAGACAGTGAAAACAGTATGTGAAACTTTAGAAAAATTGATAGTGATACGGAAAAAATAAATGCCACAATATCGCAGAACGGGAAAACGTCGCTGATGTGAACGCTTGTATTGACAGGATACAGGTTTTTTTTTTTAAAACTATTGACATTTGAAATAATCGCACGAAAAAAACGCTCCCGGTGTGTCAGGACCTTAAGTCACAGACCCCACCCCCCCCAATGTAAACAGATGGACCATGAGTGAAACTGGAAAATTAAAATACAAACTGTATTATGAATTTCTCTGGCTGATCATTTTGAGTTATACATACTAGCAGGTGGAATATTTTTGAGTTTTAAATACTGCATCAACTTTGTTTTTTACAGAAAACTTACTTTGTATGCAGTATTTCTACAGACGGGACGAATACCCTGCTCAGGTATTGTGGCCTGAATTTTGATGCTTAGGCTGAGGCAACTATTAGACGCTGCAGCCCAAAATTGAGTTTTACTGAACAGGAGAGATAAGAGACAAATAATTGTGACCTTGCTGAGGGTTGCACGATTGGTGATGATTATCATGTTTAGAGTATTTCTGGTGAAGATAGCCGAATATGTACACACCCTCAGAGCTGAGTACAGTTCATAAAAACTTCAACTCCATTGATTGATTATCCGTAAACAAAGACATTTGCTTAAGTAACATTAATTGAAGTTAAAATAAAGTTACTACTTATTGAAAGTTAGCTTGCCCACCTCCACAATCCAAGTCCAGTCTTAAATACAATTCCAATATCCATAAAGATCCACAGATTTATCGAATTCTACAGAAACTGGCTAATCTTGCTCAAGTTGTCTGTGATCCGTCTCACTGTGTTAGAGTGGGTTTGGATCTTTTCGGGGGAACAAATTGACAGTGGGTTAACCTTCAATGAAGTCAGGTAACGATGACGTTAAAGAAAACCAAATATAAGGTTTTGATTACTGTTTTTTATATTAATATCAATGTAAAAAGTTCCTTTATGAAGAACAACAGATTAAAAGGTGTGTACCCAGCTTGAATACTTCGTTTTACACACACGTGTGGAAATACTGACTGGAGGGTAATGACTTATGATTACTGGATTGCAGCCGTATCTGCAGGTTTAATTTTTTTTTCCTTTCCTTCCCTATGAGTGGTTTGAATCTTCACGTGATGAAAGTTATACGCCAAGATCGTCAACCTGCTAAGCATGAATGAGTGAGTTCATGTGTGAATTGCAAAACTGGCTCTAAAAAAATTTAAAAAAACAATGACACCTAAATCATTTCTGCCTGCACCCGTTTTTGAGCTTCAGTCTGTGTGCACACTCAAAGTTTGAGTTAAGCGATGACATAATAAGGCCAAGTAGGAAATGTCGCTGACTGTGCCTTTAAATGTCTTGCAGGAGGCAAAACAAATAAATGCTTCAAATCGAAATTGTGTGTTACTTCTTCCCAGTCTTCAGTGTTTGTACAAAACTCCAAAGGTCCGTGATCACCTGAGGAAGGTACGGGGAAGAGGGAGAGGGTGGGGGTGGAGGTAACAACAGAACAGAAGAAAGGAATTATAAATCATCCAAATGAGGTGCTATACAGCGTTACACACATGACTCACTTTTACTAAAACATGCTTTTGTGCGTCTCGCCTGTGGGAACGCTGACTTTAGATGGGGCTGTTGGGGGAACGACAAGGGGTTGGGTGGGGGCAACAGTACATACCAGAGTATATGACTAGGTGCTCCAGGTCTGACAGATCTCAGCCTTGGCTGATGAAACCAAAGCACTTCCACAGATGTTTCTACACACTGGGATCAACAACCCAACTCCACCCCCTCGCTCTTTTCCTCGTCCAACCAGCTCTTGCGCCGGTCTAAAGAGCTTTCACCTGCTCTCATAGCTGTACTGCTAGCATTTTAATACTGCAGTAAAAACACAAACGAATGTTTGAGTGATCACCTTTGTACAGATGGTTTAATGAACAAAAAAAAAAAAAGTATTACATCCAACCGAGTCCTTAAAAAGCATTAAGCCTGAGGTGATCATCCAAAGGGTTTTAAGTGATTAATTCCTGCTCTGCACAACAATCTGCAGAGGCTGTTGTTTTTCCTCTAGAATGACAAGAAAAGATTTAAGGCGTGCATTAAAAAAAAAAAAAAAAAAAACTCCTTTTAAGATTGGTCAAAGGCCTCGAACGTGAAAGAGACTGGTACCGTCCACATACCCCCAGTCGCTTCATTAAGGCTACAAAAGACACACTCCAGTAAATCACAGAGAAAGAGCTCGCCTTGGCAGGTGTACTCCCATTCCATCTCAAAAGAGCCCGCTGACACAAATGAATATAACTCATCGAGAACACGCTGTGCTGCAGAGACATTCGGGGCATAATGGTCGGCGAGGAAGTATGAGGACAGCACGGGGAACAATAATGCATTCCTGGGAATCTATCATGGCAAAAAGCTCTTAACGCTGAAAAGCAGGTTGATGTAAATGTGACTTTGGCTGCTAACACCCGGCGACTGGAAAATGTCCAGAAAACCCAACAACTTCTTTTAGCTGAGCATGCAAACACAAAAACTGGGTGAAAGCTTAAAGACGAATCTTATATGCCTCAAAAACATGACTTACTTTCTTGTCAGAGATTTTAAAAGAGCTCTTGACGTAATTCTCAAACTTCTGCTCTGTCTTGGGTAGATTTTTCCCCTGATGAAAAAAGGCCATTAAATCATCAGCTTAACCGCACATCAAGACATTCAATTAAACACAGTCATTTGCAAAGAGGGGTTGACAGCCTTACCTCCTTAGCTGCTGCTGACAACTTGCTCTTAATCTCAGTCAGGGAGGGAGATTTAGACGGACCAGCCTGGGGTTTGTCTTTTCCCGGGGCAGGTGTCTTCAAAAAGATATATCAATTAGATAAGGAGGACTCATTGGTATGTCAAATAGACACAGATTTATGGGGCTTTAGATTAAAGATAGCTTTATACCAGGGCACAATATTTCATTTAATACTCAACTTCAGCTCCTGCTATTAAATTTTCTGTGTTCTTATTTGACCTCAACTGAAAAGAGCCAGGTCTGACATACTGAGGATGAATCCATTTGCTGACCAGCAGGCCGGTCTGAGCTACAGCCCTATCGTGACCCATTTTGACTGGGTCTGAGTTTACGGGCTTGGCATGAGCAACCAGCTGGAGGGAGATGAAAGCTTCAGAAAGGACAACAAATTCTAGCCTAATTACACCATCTCTTCTTTTTTTTTTTTTCACAAATACATCAGGTACAAATTATGTTTTTATTGTTTGCAAGCAGGAGAGGGCAAGCCCTGACTCACCAATAGAGATTGTTTGTCAAGTGTGTTTTTTCCTTTAATGGCAAATCCCCACAAGTGAACTGAAGAGAACAAACACCTGACATCAAATAGATGTCTTTGGCATTAAAAGCTGATGTTATTTCTGATCTACATTCAAGAGCTTAACAGACACAACCCTGATCCCAAAAGATCTGGGACTGTAGGACTAATAAAACAGGTTTTGGTGGTTTGCAAGTCACTTAAATCCTGGATGTGATTAAAAATAAAGCAAAGACAACAATGACATGTTGAAACTTACTGTTTTTGGTTTGTTTTAGGATAACTTATGTTCATTTTAAATGTGATGCCAGCAACACAACTGCACCCCAGAGCCCATCAGGCAGCATTGCATTAAAAAAAAGTCACGACTCTGTAGTGAAGATCACTGCATGAGCTAAAAATGACTACTAGGAGCACAGTTTGTTGCAAATACAGGTTAACACAAGAGGAAAACTGTTCTCTGTACGCCACATATTTCACTCGGCAGACAAGTGAAGGCCTAGTATAAGCACACACTTCAACACACAAATATAAAAATATATAAATATTATATAAAATATTTGGTGCTTCATAAAACAAGGATACTATGGCAAGTATCAGGAAAGAAAAGTGACCTTTAAAAACTCAGGAAACTGGCCTCCTTGGTCCCCAAACATCTACAGAGTGTTGTTCAAAGAACTGGTAATCCTGCAGAATGGTAGACAAGTCCTTGTTCAAACTTTGAAACTTTGTGCCCAAACCCGTTTGGAAATGTTTTTTTAATCTAGTGTTTAGTAGTAGTCATTAGTAACGCTGTTACTCAACACCATTACTTTATTCAGTAACTAATGTAACACCTTTTTTTTAAATCCAGTAACTCCGTTTCCGTTACTAAACACTGCATTACTCTGTTCCTTTTGGTGAGGTTTTACAACGGCACACAGTTCCCATAACATTTTAGTGATCAATAAAGTTTAATGGAGTTGGAAAAACAAAGCCCTTGTCACCCTCCAGCATCACACACGTAATCCAATATGCGCCATGAAGAGGACTGAACAGGTCAGGGCACAGCATGATGACGAGCGAGAAGGGGAAGATCAGTTTCTCCTCATAGAGATACTCACATTATTTTCAACTCGAGAGCAAAGGGATAAAACAACATTTCAGTAACATGTAAACTGTGTCCCGGGTCCAAAATCCTTTCTACGGCGAACAACAGCAACAGCAGTCTACTGAAGCACCTAGAGAAGCGGCATGCTCCGACAAAGGTAGCTAATGCAGCATCCCAGACCGAGAGTCACAGCAGCGAGTACACACCCACTCCGCCCAAACAGCAGTGGTTGGAGTTCAAAAGACAGACCCATAGCCAGGCACAACTTGATAAAACAATAGCACGGTATGTTTTTTTATTTGGATCAATTTTTTAGCGATATCAGGCTATTATTCCAAAAGTCCAATGGTAAAATTTTGGTTTTCGTGTCAAGGTTTGTGTTGGTGCACAACGAATCATATTGCTTGGATGATTAGATTTAGCGATGTGGATGCAAATGAAGAACGTTTTACAGTAACTATATAGCTACTTTCTCTGTAACACATTACTTTTTGGTTTAAGTAACTGTGTTACTGAGTTTTTTTTTTTTTTTTACAAAGTAACTTGTAACTGTAACTAGTTCCTATTTTTCAGTAGCTAGCACAACACTGTTTTAGTCTTATGGCTAATAGTAACAGCAGAGCATACGTCCAAAAATCTTTACTACTAGACATTTGGAGATGAAAATAATGTATGAATTTATTCAAAACTGTATCATTGTAGACTGCAGCTCAGAGAATGCTCAAACATGATAATACTCTTAGCACTGTCTGTAGATTTGATTTTCACATCTTAGCAGTCTACAGACTGTGCTACAGACAATTCAAGGGTACAGTATTATTATTGGCTGTCAGCACACTATCCATAAAGAGTGTCCATTATAGAGCTCCATGTTGAGCTCCACAGAAAAACCTTATTTTGAAGTTCTTTGTGAAATTTTAGGTCATATTTTGAAAGAACATGTTGTTTGCAGTTTGCAGGCCCATAACAGTGTCCAAGACTAGTCACTTCAGGCTCAAATCAGAGGGGTGTAAATGTGACAGGCACACACACACACATCATACACTGGTGCTGCGTGTTACACAAGCCACAGAACTTGTCCATACATGCAAAGCCAGTGTGGATTCCAGTGAAAATTGCAGGGTTTCATTGATAGTGAGAGAGACGTTTGAAAGAGGAAAGAAGTCAAGTCGTAACGAACTCTTTCCCCAGTGAATCACTGAAAACTCAAAAACGTCCTGAATTTTCCCTCCAGTTGTTAATGCTACAAACTAAACCATTTTTTATTGCTGTTAATCAGCATTTCAGCGTTCAGATGTCTTCTTATTTATTCTGAGTAACATCACTGTTTAAACTAAACCCTCAATGAAAGATGGTTGGATGCACAAAGTTGTTATTTTCAGCTGAGGAGATAAATCAGTTTACATGTTTGTGGTTTGACACGAGACTCCAGAGCCCAAACTTTTCCTGGTACTGTCTGCACAACTGGAACTGCTTAAGTATGTATACAGGTGACTATTATCTTTAATGAAGCAATGACCAGTTTTTATGCAAATGTAAATCTCTTTTTTGTACCATCTCTAACTGCCCGGCACAACTTATGATAAAGATAATAAACGGACCTGCTGGTAGGGATGTCTCAATCCGATATTGATATTGGATATCGGTCTGATATCAGTGAAAAAAGGAATGCTGGATCATATCGGCCTGCATCGAAAATCTCTGATATCAGCACTCCAATACAAACAGTCCATTCCAGACTCTGCTCCGGCACCTCTATCTAGCAGTGCCCAGATCCAGCATGTAGAACCCGCGTGATCACAACAACAGAGTGTACTAGGGTACAAACAAAGTATCAAGGAGTAAGAGTGATGTCGTCTGTGTGGCAGTATTTTTCGTCTAATTCCAAAAAAGACGTTGCAGCTGAGTGCAAAACTTGTCATGCACAAATTTGTGCCAATATCGGATCAATATCGGTTTCAGTCAATACTGAAGGCTACAATATCGGTATCATATTGGAAGTGAAAAAGATTCACCTGGACACCCCTACCTGCTGGCTGTGACCAGTTTTCTAAGACTTGTGCCATCACCCTCCACAGGCCACTTGTTGTCCTGTTGTTTCTTCCCCCCCCCCCAATCAAACCAGCACATCATAAGACTTTTCCAAACAGCCTCTTGGAGTGCTGTCTCTCTCGGTTGTCCTCAGACGAGCTTCCATCGTAGTCTCCAATCCTCCCGATTCTCCATACACCCGGCCAGCTCCAAAGAGCTTTCAGCTCCCGCATCCTTCTTCAGGACGTCCACTTACATTAGCGCTGAACGTCCTCGCGAACGGTGCCCGTGTGTTGGTTCCTATAGGACCAGTCTGCTGGCTGGGAGCTCCTGATGTCTATGGCAGCGGCCGGCCAGCCTCATCCTCCTAGATGCTACCTTCTTGCTGAGCCTCGGCAGTTACTCTTACAGGTCCTTGTTGGTAATGTGGATGTTCTGGTCCACATTCAGAACAGCTCGTAGCATTCTGGTGTAGCACCCATCGAGGGACTTCTGCAGGGTGGGTGTCAGGGTCCAGCTTTCGCAGCCATACAGGAGAACAGACTCCACAGTGGCTGGAATAGGTTCAGCTTTGTGTGTCTGGAGAGATTCGAGCACCACACTCTTCACAGACCGTTCAGGGCCCTCCACACTAGTGCCTTCCTGACCTTAAGGTCCTGTTCTGTGGAGTTCACCCAGGAACCCACGTATTTGTAACACAGCAGAAAGCCTCTGTTTGCATTTTGACCATGAAACCGACCTTTCTAGCTGATAAAAAAGGTATTTAATGTGTATCAGTCTCCTGTATCTGTTAGGTTATAATGTAAAGTTAACCATTTTCCACAGTCTTGAGTCTAAGTAGCAGAAGCAACATGAAGAAGGTCATAATTCTGCACTGAGAGATGGTTCATCTTGTTCAAATCCAGAGCTATTTCACACACCCCAGCCTTTGCGGTCAGTTTCTTTGGAAAAAGCGATGACCAAATGTAATGTGTTCCCACTCAATACTTTTGACACCTTCTGCTATTTTATGATTCAAAAAAGCAGCATGAAGCTTGAAACGGTGACAAACAGGTGGACAATCCTGGGGAATATAAAATCTCTCTCTGGGCTGAAAAATGCAATTATCTGTCCCTGTCCCCAAGAGTTCTGCATTTTATAGCAAAGATCAAAAGACGAAACAGCAGAAAACCTTGACACACACATACCACACTTCAAAAAAAGAAAGGAGCGCATATGCTGCTGGCTCTCATCCAGACAAATACACAGCGTATTTATTATTTATGGGCAGCTCTCAGCTTCCAAAGGACAGCTGTGGACCTGAAACAGCTGATAAACACACAAAGCCAGCAAGCTTTTTCATCTGGGCCAGACACTGATTACAGATGCCACGAAACTTGGAACTTAATCACAAGCACGCTATCATTTGATGCAATCTCTTGTCTCCAATCCAGTGCAAACACATGGTTGTGACACCTTTGCTCATCAGGTGTGTCAGGGAGGGTAATTGTCATTTTGTTGGAATGAGAGCTTTGAGCGCTCTTGTCTGGGGAAAACGATGACTCACCGGGTCTGGTCGGTCTTTTCATGTCGAAGACGGCAAATTCACAGTGTCGTAAGTCATCTTCTTATATAAATCATCATTACATATAAAGTAGAAACAGTGTCCAGAGATGTCTCCTTACACGTGCAGCACACATTGGGACAGCGTCCATGTCAGACACATTCTCACCTATTGAAAATGTTTTGTTTAACTTGTGCCAGAACTTCTCTACTGGGTCTGAACTTACCCCCAGTGGTACTTAAAAAGTACTGGATTATTCTACAGCTCTACATTGAGACAGAAACAATAATCTATTATTCCTAAATCCTCAAACTCTTGACTTTAAGCTGAAACAGGAGCTCTTTGTGAAGATTTTTTTTATGTTAAAGTTGAAAAAGTCTGTGTAGAAGTTTGTATTACGTTGATTTGAGCAACCATTGTGGACGAAGGAGAAGGAGCTCTCTCTTTGCTTTTATCATCCTGTTCACTAACAAGAAAGTCTCTGCAGAATGAAATGAACTTTACATCTTTGGGTCAGAAGGTTTTTAAAAATTCAGGGAGTTGTTTAAAGCCTCATGGACTGTATGAAACATGGATGCAGTCTCAGTGACATCCATAGACTGTATATAGAATGGACAGCGTCTGCCTTCTTGCTGGGTAAAGCCACTCCGAGAACAGCACCCTCTGTTGACGGGCTGCAGTATAGGTCATAAATCCCGCCTCTGCCTGCAAAGCTTATGGAGCTGTGGACAAACTTTAGAAATTTACTACACAGAATATACATTTTTCTCTCCCCTGCTTGCGATGTTGACATGTAATAAAAGTTATTAGGGGGTTCATGTTTTCTATGATTGACACCTGATACAGCCTATTGGCGTTCAGGGATTGCGTTGCTCAACCGGGGGATACGCTGTTTGAGCCGAGCGTCATCACAGCGACTCTCGGTGACTCTCCCGTCGAATGCGTACAATGCTACTGCACAGCTCTGGTTTCAGGAAATGAAGAAAAATCTCGGCATTACCGAGGGATATTTGGCTTCAAATCCACATACAGGCTGTAAACGTGTTTAATTTTGCTGTAAAGATGGGCTTTCTTAAATGTGTGTGTATGTGTAGCTTCTAGTACTTTTGTAGATAGCCTCAAGTGGACACCCAAGGAACTGCAGGTATTTGCAACACCAAAGATAACCTTGTTTAGACGGATTTCTGCAGGTGCAAATAATTGTTATGTACTATTAACATTATATTATATTATGAGTCAGACACAGTTCTGTTTAATCCAGCACTTACATGACCAATCAAATGTCAGCTTGACATTTTTACCTTTCAATACTGATTAAAAATGAGAGACTTGAAGTTTGTGATGCTGGTGTTGTTGTTGTTGTTATGTACACTGTGGTCATGATTCACCTGAACTTTCAGTGGGTGCTGTTGCCTCTCACTTCCTGAAGTTAACACTAATGCTAGCAGGCAAAAAAGTTGATTTCAAGCAGATAAATTAACTGTATAGAAATGATCAATCTTCACTCTGAAGGTTTGGTTTGCTTTAGATCATACAGAGGCATCGACTCAAGTTTCATGAACAGCAAAACGACTCTTTACAGAAGCTTTCAAGGCAAATACTTTTTTGTTTTCATTAAAATAAGATATGTATTGGGCCATCTGTACAATTTTGACACAGATAGAAAGAATTTATAAAGAGAATAGCAGCTGAACTTTGTACAAAAAGTTTACAAAAAAGTTTTAGAAGGAGGAAAAGTTATATGTGGCGTCAAACTGATTTTGACTTTTGGCTTTGAGCGAACAGCTCCTTAGGGTAACGTGTGGATAAGTTCAGGGCCGCAGTGCAAGTGTGAAAAGGACTTCAGCTGGAAGAAAACATCCTTACAAGAACAACATAGGCACCTGCTCTAACACACGTCTATCAGTCACTAAAACAATGACTCACACGCTTTTCGGATAAGCCTGAGTGGAGTGCTTAACAACTTTACGACTGTGACGTGTGCTCCAAGGCATCAGCTCCTCCAAACCCATCAATCAAAAGACACCAGCTGCAAGATGAAGTTACTTCAAATCAGCACGACACGAGTTAGCTGGTTCTCATGTCCAGCCTGTTATGCAAGAAGGTGCAGCGACACGCTGGGCCGCGAGAGGTGAGAACTGCGGTACTGGCAACAGATCTGACAGGCCGGTGTAATGACCAGTCACCTGCGTTTAGTCAAGAAAAAACAGACATCCACGCCCGCTTCCAACTCCTCAGGGGCATCTGGAAGCGCAAGCTGCACCAGACATCAAACGCTGGTAATGAGAGCAATTGGGAGAAGGTGTGTCCAGGAAGTGAGGGGTGTGAAGAGGTTGTAGAGCGGGAACAGTTGTTGTTCAGGAGGGGAAATGGGATGGGGGCAGTTGAAGCTCCACAGGCCAGAAAGTTAAACTAGCAGGATGGTTTCAGCAGTTTAGCTGCCTGATGGCTAATCCCCCTGAGCATTTCAAGAGCTGCTGTGTTATGTCTGGACACCAACCACTGCAAAAAAAAATAAAAAGCTCCACTCTCCCACAGAAGCGCTGGTCCAGAGGGGAATCGCTGTCTGGTTTCAGGAATTTTTTAATCCTGCAGCTCAGTGTGTAACATGGTGAAAATTCACACCTTTCTTTTAAGATATCAGACCTGAAATGATAATCTACTTCGTGCACAATTTTCATGCGTGTTACAGAGAAAACGACCCCTCGCATTAATCGTGTTCATCATAAAAAAACAGCAGCAGTCGTACGTCAACTCATGAGAGTTTCTGTCTGCTTCATTTTATCAGAGTAACATGCTTTTTGAGTTTAACTACAGAGAAGCTTGCCACTTTGTGTCACTTAATGTATGTGTGCTACAGGGGGTTTGAGTGGGGGTATCAAAGGTGGCGGCAACACAAGACGGCGGGGTCAGGCAGAGGGGTCAGGGGTTTAAACCTTGCCCCAGGAAACCCATTTAGAGGTCAGGTGTGTTTACTTAAAGAGAGGCAGAGTTCAAGCTTTAGGTTTTCAGAGGCGGCTGGCCGAGACATTCCACCTGAGAAATAAACTATCAGGTTGAGCTAATTGTAATGAGCACTTACCGCATTCCTTCGAACGAGGAGACTATCCACGATCCTGTTCCTTTAGATTTTAAGCACGTTTTAGTTTTAACGGCCATTAACTGCAGACAATTACCCACAGTCACTCACACTTTCTGATTCTGCAATTTCAAAGCATTTCATCCTGTTTTTGGTTCGGTTGTGTTTAATGGGACAACGTCTTTATGATTTACACCATGGGGGGTTTAAGTAATGTGTTGCTTTGAGAAAAAGTAATTTTATGCATATTTTGGTAGGGCTGGGCGATAAGGCCTCAAATCAAAATCACGATATATTGAGCAATTCACCTCGATAACGATAAATGGACGATAGCTACTCCACAAGCTGCTCACCCCCTCCTGCTCCAGCCGCTACAACTTTTGAACCGTCCTCCATCTCCTCACCTGTCTTTCCCTCGACATACAAACTTTTATTTATTGATTATTTTGACACCGAATATGTTGACCTGGGCAAAATTACAGCGGCTATTGATGTAAATTTTGGTTTTGATAAAATTTCGGTTCATCGCCCAGCCCTATATTTTGGTACATAACACACAACATGATACCGATTAACTTTAATTCAAGCAAATAAAAGACGAATTACTATGCAATTGATTATACTTAAGTTCCTGTGAGATGTTAAGTTGGTGCCCATCTCTGTGCATTCTTGGACAGAGTTTGCTCAATCTCATCCTGCTGACTTCAACAGTCGAATATATCATTTATTGTGAATATTTTATTCTGATATATTGGACAAAAGTGGCTGTAAAGGTGACACCTACCTCCTCACACCAGTTTCAGGCATCAAAAATGAGGACAAAAAATCCTAAATCTTGATCCTGATGATGTGGTTTGCTTTTGAATATGATGAAAGACATCTCCCCATTGGAGCTTTACGTTGTAAATAACGCCTTTTGAACATTTAAAAAGGTCTTACAATGCATGGTTCGCCTTTTAGTGCATGGATGTGAACGTTTATAATATATATTTTTACGTATCTGAATGCAATATTTTTTGATCAGTGTCTTCTGGGGTTTTTTTTGTTTGATTTTTTTTTAAAACAAATGTCTAATATCTTCTTCAGATCAGGAAAAGAAACAACAGATTTATCCAGTGAGGTGACTTCATATCCAGGCCTGTGTAAGCTAGTTAAAAAGCACTTTCCGACTGTAAAACTACCAGTGAGCCAATTAAGGAAACAACCACCAGTAAAGAGATCATGCACAGCCTCTCTTACTTTAATCATCGCTTTGCCAGCTGATCCCGATGCTCTTCCTGCAGGACCGTTCTGCTTCACAGGAGTCTTGCTGAGTTTCTTTCCTGACAACTCAAAGCTCTGAAAAAAAAAAAAAAGAAGAAAAACTGATAAAAAAGCTGCAAAAATTTCTAGGGGAAACACTGCAAGAGGTATACCGTGATGGATCATCTATCTGCAAAATCTGCTGCAGAAAAGTTGCTGCAAAAAAAAAAAAAAAGTCTTTAAATTGGGGTCACCTGAAGTTTCGAGATATTGATCAAAAAGATGTTTTATCAGAAAAAATCATAAATCAATGCAAATAAAATGCAGAATTATCTTCTTTTATAATATAACCAAAGTCAGTATCTTAGTTACGCAACCAAACCTACTTGGTGCATTTCTTAAAGTCCTTAAATGGCCCTCATGATGGCTCCAGGACCCTGCTTCTGATTGTACTACATCACTTGTAGATGTTTGCTCCCAGAGATCTCACAGTGTGTTTTCAATCTATTTGTCTCTTTTGAACACATATCTTTAGAAAGCCAGATTTGTTGCTCTGGAGTGCATAAAGTCTAAGTGCTGTTTGCTCCTGGATGTTACGTCAAAGATGAGATGTGCTCAGTCTGCTTCACCACCTGACTCTGAAAGGCTGCAGCGCACCGTACGAGCTCAGCTGCCCCATCAAGTCTGGTACGATAAGAGACACTATAATAATGCAAAGCAGACATGAAAAACTCTCAAAGTTGAGCACTGTTTCCCTCATCAAGTAGCTTGTTTCGCAGGTCCACATATTTATTTGAATACTTTTTAGTACACTAGGCTCACCTGGCTGCAGGTATCATCCACTAAGATCAATAAAATCCTAACATTTCTGGGCCATTCTGCCTTAATAACACATGCCTTAATGTGGTCCAAAAAATGATTGATTACTTGCAATAAAACTGAACAAGAACATCACTATTGATTTTTTAAACATTGTTAGAGAGGAGGCACCAGACGTACTGGGTAATTTGTCACTGATCGGATACTTAAAACCCATCATTTTTCTTCCCCACACTGGAAGCCTTCCCGTCAGGTCTGCGTTGCTCTCAGTCACCTGTGTAATTACCTTGTAATAGCCGAGGCAAGTACCTGCATTTCCTGAGCACCAACCCTCTCCTAGCAATCACTGATGTTCACCTTGGAACGGGCTACAAGTGTAATTGCCTGTGTTGACATAACTGCTACAAGGCAATTACACATGTTATTTCCTCCAGCGATGCCTGGTGATACATGACACTGTAAAGCTGCGCGAGCACGGCTAAAACAACAAGCTCTTTTTGAAGGATATTAAACAATGATTTCAATCAGCTTGCTCCATGAGGACCTGCTGCTCTGTATGTGACCAGTGAAGGTCTACTCATTGGACTCTTGGTGGAGTCACTGAAGTCCAGGAGAGCTCTGTATGTTTTGCAGTTTCTGCAGAGTAAAGGAAGTTCTGAACAAATGAGTCATCTTCATTTGTCATAGCAGTGCTTTTAAACTGCAAACACATAATTCACATGTAGGCAGCATGTTTCCACATCTTGTATCACGAGAATGATTGCACCCTGAGTCTAATCCAAACCCTAATCCAGCTCATCACATTTGCTTTCACAGTCCCCCCATCAAAGTTTGGACACTGGCTAAAATAGTTTTCATTGTACTACATAAAATTTTAAACCCTAAACCCTGTCTTCCCTTCATAGCGTCTATGTCACGTGACCAATTGACCTAAAACTGATTTCAAATAACAGTAATAAGGTCGGACAATAAGAAACACCTCTTCATTTCTCTAATTTGTCCTTTAAAAATTTTTGTGTTGAATCTAAAGGCAAATTTTAAACATTTTCTTCAATAGCTTCCATGTCATGTGACCAAAAGACCTAAAATTGATTTCAAATAATGGTATGTCGACCAATAAGACACACATTATTTGATCAATTGTCATTGTGCCCCTTATGTTCTTTGTGTGCTCCTTACTTTTTCACCTTAGTAGCACATGTGCCCCATGAAAAAAAGTTCAATATATCGTGATATTGATTTGAGGCCATATCGCCCAGCCCAAGTTTCCTCTCTGCTAAAACTTGTGGACACTACAGTTGTTTCCTCTGCTGCCCGGCTGACACCCACCAATCTTTTCGCTGATGGTCTGATTTGCTTTTGTAAATCAAAAAAAGGCTTCAATGTAAAATTCACTTTACTCCACAAATGCTTTAAATATGGAGTTTCACTGACGAGCAGCAGCTTAACCTTTTAAACTGTCAGTCAGTATGCTTTCACTTTTAGTACGAAACTTAAAGACTAAGTCAACCCTCAATTTAGAAACAAAAATCTATCATCATTCTTTCTCTCAAATCAAATATCTGATCAAACAAACTTTCACAACGAAAAAGCTAAAAGGACGAGAGTTGAGGGAAAGATAAGGGTCATCGAGTGGAGGGGTGTGGGGGCGCAGGAGGTGGAGGACTAGACAACAGAATAAATCAACAGGTGACAGAAATGCTCAGCTGTCATCTGACCCTGAGGCGAGGATCGACGCTCACATCACAGGTATGTGCATCTGCCCTGCTTTGATCTTTCGCCTGGCACAGTTTTTCCTCTGGGATGGGGTTTAAAAAAAAAAAAAAAAAAAAAAAAAAAAGAAATCACTAACAGACACTGACATAAACCTGAGGCAGATACACACATGCACACACACACGCTCGCAGACGATTGCGGTAACACGCAAAACAAGTGTTCAAAGGCAAAGGCCAGGTGCAAAGCTGAAATGGCATGAGAGACGATAAAAAGGAGCAATCATATTAACAGTGGGATGACAGAGGGACAAAGATATGCAGCGGTACAGAAAAATGGGGGAGGATGGTTCCCATAGAGTGAGTGTGTAAGTGTGTGTGTGAGGGAGAGAGAGAGAGAAACTGCATGTGTGTTTCCCTGAAGATACATACTATATTTTAATCATCAATGCTTGCAAATTGTCTGCACTTTTGCAAATACGTATGTGTGCTTTATACAACTACGGTACTATGCATATCTACACACTTTTGAGAGTGTGTGTGTGTGCGTGTGTGTCTATAAGATAACACTGTGCCGTCGTGTTGGTGAGACAGTGAGAATCCGAGCAGATTACAGAGGAGAAATCCGATCATTACGCCACACAGACCCTGTGTTTTACTGCTGGAAAACAGGTGGGTACATGAGCGAACAGGATGAAAAAGTTCCATGTTTTGTCTCTGACAAAAAGCCGGTGGACGGTCAGTGGGTGCAGGGATGGGAAGGGCCCGCTTTAAATGAAATGTTACTATAGGACAGAGTCTGTGGGAGTTTAAATGATGAGGTACGAACAAAAAAAAAGGAGCCGGCAGACTGCAGCTGCAGAAAGGACGACTACACACTCAGGACAAGCTCTTGGCTACCCTGACACCTGGTGGACAACAGGAAACACTGTTTCTAATCAAATCTCGAGCTTGAAGCAAAGTTTGATGTTTGGACCTTTATTATTAATTGAAATGATGCTCAAAGGGAAGGCAAACTGTTAAAATTTCACCGATTTAAGACAAGATTAGATCATAAAACACAGTGATGCAGCCAATTCAGCTTTTATTCAAACAAAGACAAACACTGCTCATAACTTTCATGTTCTTCGGTCTGTTTAACCCACAAGACGAGAGAGAAGAAGTCAGTTTATCTTCTCATACTCTTTACAACTTCTCCTTTAATTTGGGTTATTGGTGCACATGCCCGATGAAATGGCATCACCCGCCTGGGATAACTAGCTGATACAGTACGCACATTATTGTTTTGACTACATCATAGAAGATGTTGGAAGACTTGTTGTAAGGCTGTTTGATATCACACTCTCCACTTTACACTGTATGTGATATAACACCATAATGACGTGTGATGCATGCATTTACGTTTTCTAGCATGCATCATGATAACAGCAATAATATGTCAGAGTGCAAAAACAACAGGTCAGCCTTCAAAAGATGCTACAAAACCTTAAAAAACATAAAGAGCTACTTTCACAGTGTGATCATTGGTTTGGTTACAAGAGGCCAGACCTCCAACGAAACACACCACTTTACAAAATATGCAAGAAAATTTACATTTTTAATCACTTGAGGCAAAACACGACATCCAGTATGACCCGGCTTGATACGCACTCCAGGAGGAGATACGAGTATCTGCTGATGAGCGCCCAAGAAGTCACTGCTCCACTGAGTATCGCCAGATAAAGCCAATCATGGAGGGAAATTAATGATAAGGTCAAAGATTTTCAAACAGTGAGAAAAGCAGCTGGTTAAAGAGCCAGACCCAAAATAACACCATCCCAGGTAGGAAAGTATTTCTGATCATTCAGTTAATATCCACACTCACAAGCTCAGGCGCACAAGCAGAGCAGCAGGTCGTGCTTTGTGTCTCAGCATGTGTCTCTTCCTGTCTGTGTGTGATGTATTACAGAGCAGCACATTGTATAATTAAGTCCTAATAATGCATGCTGTCTTTTAAAATCTTTCAATATGTGGAATCAGAATGATCCAAAACTAAGAACGTGCAGAATGACCACAGCAGCAACCAGCTGGACATGATCTTTGTTCACATTTGTCCTGACAGGAGTGGGTGGTGTGGTGTCCCAGTTTCAGTACTGTCACTGGTGTCACAGTCTGCCACATCAGGGATTTAAACATGCACTTTGTACTTGTACGCACACATAATGCAGTTAATCCTCACATAACCCGCCAGTGACAGTAAAACAACGTTGTGTAATGAAGAACCACCTCCTCCTTGTTGTTGTACTTAAGTGGATGTTTGTGTCTGCCAAGGGCATGCGGCGCAGCAGTGAGATAAGATAGTACTACATCCTCTCTAATTCAACATTAGGGTTCACAGCATCGTTCAAAGTGAATTTCAGCTCATCACTCAGTCGTCTTGAGTGAAAAAAGATTAAATGAAGCAGGTTTTGGCTGTTACTTGTAGTCAAAGTTAGACTGTAACTTCTGTGTAACTTGGACTAAATCATGGCTTTGTGAAAGCTCAATTAATCATATGCTTTCAGCGATCATTCCTTTTATAAATAAGTACCTACTGCACCTCCAAATCAGAATAATATCTCAGCTGCAGAGTTTTCAAGCTCAGTTCTCTTCCTCTTCAAACCTTCAAATACCTAATGTTGTCTCTAAAGCGAAACATAGAAAGTCGGGCTTACTTTTTTCAGGTCTTTTCCAATCGTCTTCTGAGGCTTCACGTCATCGTCACTGTCGTCATCTTCATCATCACTGCAAAAAATGAGCAAGAGAGAAACTCACTCAGCAAGATTAGAAAAAAGTTTAGGATTAGTCTTTCTAGTATTTGGGAACCTGATTAAAGTGTGAGTTAGATTTAACATGCACATGTGACTGAGTATCGAAAGTGTACGAGGAAAATATTATGGTAAAAGGAAACATACTCCTCATCATCGTCGCTGTCATCTTCATCATCATCAGAATCCATCTTTAGTTTTTTCTACAAGAAAGGGAAAAACACTCAAGTTAATACATGAGATATTTAAACAGAGAGCCTGAACCATCAACACAATTAAAAGGAGAAAAAGCCCTTTTTTTTTTTTACAGCTTAATGACATTACTTATTCTACCGACACACAACCCTTACAGTAATACTTTTAAATGGGCCTTCAGGTTGTAAATAAGCACCAGTCCAACATTAAAATAGTGGATTCCCATCTTTTAAACCAGAATTGAATCTAAAAACACAAAGTTCTTCGATACAATTCCCATTTGAAGCTTCTCACCTGTGGAGGCCTCTTCCCCGATGTGAGGCCTGCAGGTCGCTTCACTGGTGACGTGTTGTTCTCCTCCTCTTCATCATCTGAATCCTTCACACCTGAAAGGTAAACACAGTGATGAGATGGTTTTCATACATATTTATTATCTACAAATACTGTTATATTTTCAGAGGAGTAATTTTCATTTGCCTTCACCATTTATGATCCATTATTGTAAATCTTCTTGCACTGCCGTCTACTTTAAAACAGTTAAACTTGTAATTGTGGGTCTAAATGACACAAACTGCTCCTTTAACAGACACAGTGTGGTGTAGGTTAATGATAAAATTAATTTGAAATTTGAAATACAGTTTCTATGTATTTGTCTGCCATTCTGTAAAAAGACTCACAGCAGCACTTCCAGCTGTTGAAATAATACTCACTAACAAAATGCTGCCCGCTGACGTGAACCGGTCCAGAGCCAGACTGAAGACGAAAGGTAACTGGAGGTGTAATTTCAAATCCACCTAGACTCATCTGGACAACAAAAAAAATAAAGATAAGATTAACTTAACTGTGATTGTCAAGATCTCATTTATTGCAGACAATCACATCAGTCAGGTGGTCACTCACAGATGGCAGGACAGACGGTTTGAGAGCAACTAGCGGCACTTTGGTTGTTTTTCCATCATAAGTAAGACCCTCGACTTCCACCAGGTGGAACTTATCCTCGGCCTCTGCTCCCAGACACACCTGGAAAATAAATAAATAATACTTAACAAAAATATCTTTCCTGTTTGGAAACAATCAGTTAAACATTTTAAGTGATACCTCCATACATAGAGAATTAAAGGGATACTCCAGCGTAAAATTAGACACCCCCTCGAGAGATGAATGCTGTCAACTTCTATAGTTAGACCACCTTTAGTAACGACAGCAAGATAGCAATACACAGCTGTCTGATGAGCCATAAACAAACCTCAACCAAAACACCACTCTATAGCCACAAATAATGCTCAGAACAGCACCTAACTTCATCAACAGGACATATAGGGTCCCAGCCAAAGTGCTAGCCACCAAACATCTTTTTAGCTTTGCCTGATTACTTTAGCAAAGAGACTAAACACAACTCACCTACTCTCCTCCAGCAGCGGCTTGTTTGTAGCGAGACCTCCGGGCAAGTCCATTGACTGCAGCGGGGTTTCGCAGCTCAAGGAAGAACATTTATGATCATTTCTTCATGGTAATGCAATCAGATTGAGACACTAAGGCAGAAGAACTACTGTGTCTGCAGTATGGTGATTATTACTTCATGGAAATGATAAAGAAATGATCATAAATGTTCTTCCTTGAGCTGCACTGGTGCGTCATCATTATTGGTCCCCAGCAGCTCACTTCCATTGTGGCTTTTTTTTTTATTTGCATCTTTTTATTTTCGCAGTAATTAATTTTTTTCCTCATTGCTAACTTTTTTTTTGGCGTTGTTAACTTCTGTTGTGGTTTTTTAATTTGCACCGTTTCTTTTTTTATTTGTAGCGGGCTTCAGTTTCTTTTTTTGCATTAGTAACTTCCGTTGTAACTTCTTTTTTTTTTTTTACAGCAGTGGCGACTCTCGGCCACCGTACATAGATGCCACTCTGACGGCGATTGTCTCTGGATATTTGTGTAAATAAAAAGGGGTTGGTCCTTACTGCTTTGATTGACAGCTGCTGCTCCGTATCATCGTCGTCTACGTCAACTTTGAACTCCCGTTTGTCCGATTTCAGAGTACAACCTGAGGGGAAAAACCAACCGTGAAACGTGTAAATATCCTTCAATTACAATAATCCTGCACAGTGTACATGAACGCACATAGCAGATAAGGATAAAATAGATATAAACTGTGTAATTCCACGCCTTTGTCGGCTAGCTAACAAAAGAGCTGAATTGGCGCGAGAAGGAGCAGGGGGGTTAACCACCAATTTAGCTAACTTCATCCTCCTAAAAATATAAACAGCTCTTACATGCATGAGAACACGGTGTTCGTGCTGATTGTGCAACAAGAAAATGACAAATTTATGCGCAAAAGGCGAGCTCACCGAACAAATACATTCGTGGTCTGCTCAAATCTGAGATATCGTCCTCCATCTTTGCAGCGGGGGGATACACTTCCGTAAACTGGAGTGACGGACAGCTTGACGAGCCAATCAGGGACCAGAATATAACTCTTTCTTCTTCCTCCTCTTCTTCATTCTACTGGGAGTTGGCAACCCACTCAAGGAGCATCACCGCCATCTACTGGATTGGAGTGTGGCACAGGAAATTAAGAAGGGAAAAAATAAATAAATCAAAAATGTAAGAAAAAAAAAAGATATATGCCTATACTACGACGGAGGATTGGGCCACAGTTAACAAAAAAAACCCTGAAACTTCGAGATTAAAGTCGTAAAACTACGAGTATAAAGTCGTAATTTTATAAAATCATAAATCTACGAGATTAAACTCATAGTTTTACGACGTAGTTTTACTTCATTAATCCCTTGAATACTTTGTCAGATACTGACCCTAACAGCTTCTCTTCAGTGAGATCCAGATTTTCTTTCTTAAGTTGGTGATTAACCTGTTGCCTTTTCTGTGTGTGTTTAACACAATCAATTAGTACATGTTTCACTGTTTCCCCTGTCTTACAGTCATCACAAAGTCAAACACAGGCTCTGATTGAGTCCTGTATGCCCAATTCTTAGCCTGGTTAATACTGTCTCCTCCTTTGTGCTTCTGCCCCGCGTAGCTATTCTGCCAACATGTTTTTGGATATTGTACATATGTCTTCCTGTGTCAGATAATAATAATAATTATAATACATTTTATTTAAAAGCGCATTTCTGAACACTCAAGGACACTGTACAGGGCATAAAAACACAGTTAGAAACATAATTAAAATAAATAAAACAACATACAAGTGTAAAAGTGGACAGTTAAAGTGAATATGCAATTTAGAATAGGTGTGTTTTGAGTTTGGATTTAAAGTGGGGTAGATATATTTCAATATTAGTGAGATTCTTTATAATAGATTTGATTTCTGTTTTGGAAAGTGTTACTACTATGTCTGTTTCCTGTGATTTCATTGCAGTTTTTGCCAACAAGTCAACTTTTTCATTCCCTTTGACTCCTTCATGAGCAGGGACCCAAAGGAAAGAGATATCTTGTCCTTCTTCATGTCGACAAAGAAGATGTTTTCATATGTCATAGACAATGTCCTGTCTGCATAACGACTTCCCTAATCTTATGCTTTCCAGCGCGGAGAGACTGTCTGAGGCAATTATGACATTTCCCCTTTCTTTATTTTCTTGTACCCACTGTAAGGCTGAAAATATTGCAGTTAATTCAGTTGTGAATACTGAAATGAGGTTTGAGAGTCTCTTTTTGACTGCTGTGCGATGTAAAAAGCAGCACCCGTGTGTCCACTCTCTGGTTCTTTAGATCCATCTGTGTAAATAACTACCTTTTGCTGATGCTGTTCCAAGTGTTCCTGGACTATTATCCACTGTGGTGTAGAAGTTAACTAACTGTGAACCAATTGTATTTGAACATGGGTGGGACAAAGGAAGCAGAGCATTCTGGTCGACAAACGCTAGATGGTGCTGTACTCCCATAAATTGAAGATATTCACAGTCAAGAATGGCTGAACTATAGAGGGAAACAGCTAAAACCTCCTCTTCTTATTCAGTGACAACAAAAGCACATTTTCTAATATTTACAACAGATTTTTTGATTTTTAACGAAACTTACAGCAGCAACCGAGCCCAGTAGTTGCTAGAAAAACAGGCAATCACAAAATGGGCTAAATCTATACAGCATAATCAAGTCCTCTTCTACTCTTGACAGTAGTCCTACCAATAACAACACCACAACAAGCTGGTAATATGTCGGACAGGTATTTACAGTTAGGGCAGAGACAGTTTTGTGGTGTAATCAAACACTCCTCTGCTGTCTCACATGTTCTAATGCTGATAAACACAAGATGATAGTTTTATTCTTTGCACAACCACAATTTTTCGTTGATCTTCAGGCTCTTTATGCAGTTGTTTGTATCTCCCTTATTCATAATGACTCCCTCAAATAACTATTACAGCCTTTTTATATTAAGATTGGGATATTCTCCCTACAGTCCATCGCTTAATGTGCCGTTTGGACTAAATAAAAGAGGCCTTTGGTCAGTGATATTAAAAGTCCAGCCCTGGGGGCAGTTGCAGCCTTTAAAAGAGTGTTCAGTGGTTGTTAAAAATATTGGTAATAAAATGGGGAGCCATTGTAGTCTCAGATATTACAGAGAGAGAGACAAACTGAGTGAACTTTTCAGACAGTGCACAAAATATTGGTATCATTGGTGCAGTTCAGGAAAATTCCGCAGACAAATGTAAAATGTAGTCACTTTTTGGCTTCAGCTATGAGCAGTTATTCACGTTTAAGCTCTAGTTATCATTAAAAATCAAAACTCATATTTTGTGTCTCAGAAAGACCAAGGCTGCTTCAATATTTCAGCGGTTTTTAGATTTGCAGTACATTCATAGTAACTACATTTGGACTTAATTTGATTTTAATTAGGTGTAGTTGCTGGTCATATAAGCTTTGAATTGTCTTGGGATGTATTAAAGGTGCAGTATGTGGCATTTAGCAGAACAGACTCGATTAAAATAAGTATGTTTAAATCAGTGTTCGATCACTGTAAAATAAAAGCCATTCTCTTTATGTGGACTTAAAACAAGACTTTATATGTACACAGGAGCAGGAGGCTGCTATCTTGCACTACCATATTTCTACAGAAACACAGAGTGGACAAACTAGAAATGTTTGCATTTTTGTGTTTATGATTGGCAGATTTGCAAAACTGGCTGAAGAAGGTATACTGATAGATGTTAATGGTTGCTATAAAGCTCGATAAATAAAGGGTCATACAATGCACCATGGGAGCTTTTTGTCCTTGAAGGCTGCCGTTACTTCACCAACAGGAGGGGTGAGCAAGGGAGCTTATCGATCTTGAACCTCACCTTTTAAATGTTGCTATATATTCCCATTTGTATGCACCGAAGCTGAAAAAAAGAAAAACATTCATATAAAGTATTCATGAGAAGCATCTTAGAGATCTGAAATCTTAACTTCTGAGAATTAAGGTTTGACTACCTGAGCTCATTTTTTATATAATTTCATTTTCAGATTCAAATGTTTATAAAATGTTATTTAAGTTTTTTATTTTGTTGCAACCATTTTGGATTTCAGGCTCAGGGAACGTGGAGTTTCTCAGAGTTTCTGAGTAAAGAAATTCCAACTCATGAGGGTGTTTCAGATAGTTTTTCTCACAGGCATCTGAGATGAGATGTGCCAAAATTCCAGTGCTGACACTTAACTATTTCTGCATGCGTACCTGATATTCTGCGTCGTACCTTCAGCTGGGAAAAAAAAAAATCAAAGAAACTGAGAAAAAAAAAAACAGGAAAGCGCATTGTTTATTTTGTTTCTGTCTTGCCCTGCAGAAGAAAATTAACATAGTACAACCCGCGTATCTCACAGAGCTGCAGGCCCAAAACCCGCGACGAAGCACTGTTTTTGTTTAGAGTCACTGCAGGCCAGTCCTTCGTGTCAGCAGCCTAAATCAGGGACTTGTTTGACAGCTAACTACCCGCTGTGTGCTGCAGGCATCAGTCTTTCAAGTTCAGCTCTGACACAGTTTTTGCTTGCTTTTACTTCCACTCCTTAAAGCTATTTGTCTTGCATTAGCAAATATCTGAAGGTGCTCAAACACCTACAAGAAAACATCTACGACATACTTGTGAAACAGCAGCAGCAGAGTCTTTCATTGGGAAATATCTCGTCTAATCTTTACGAGTGTCACATAGTGTGTCTGTAGCTGACCCGTATTGAGCAGGTGTTGAGTTATTGAGGCGCAGCAGCAGTATTACTCAAAAGGAATGAGTGGGGTTGTCTTCATGCATGCCTGAGAGCTTGAGACGGCTTTAATGTGTCACAGACTGCCAGGACACGTCTGCAGATCTCCTCACATGGCTGATATGACGCTCGAACTGTTGGACTTACTCAACATTTTTGCTTTATTCTTCAGGATAGATCCCTTCAAGTGTTTGTCTTGGTGTTTTGGCGCACAGAATAAAAACAGAAATTAAAATAGAAGCATTAAAAAAAAGGGATATACATATATAAACTTAAATCACACAAATGAACATTTAATGTTTCTGTGTATGTGCTTTTTGCAGCATGTTGTGCATCGACCTGTGCATGCTCTCCCCCTGTCCCTGCATGCCTCCTATCTTATGTAAACATACCTTGTGTAACTATTTGCACGTGTGCATATATGAGAGGTGAGTATGCATGTAAATATGAGTTTGTGAATGGAGAGAACTATGAGAGCGTGTCACGTCAGCAGCATCTCTGTAACACTGTCCGACTGCAGACAGAGTTCTTCACTCCTCACCTGACTCAGCTGGAAATGACTCCACACCTCAAGATATTCTGGAGCAACAGCAGCTGACAGTTGTTCAAACATTATCAAACCATTATCCAAAGTGCAACACCTTAAAAAAAGGAGCACTGAGCTGATCGTCTTTTATGTGTTTGTAGGTTTTTCCTCACTGTGTGGGATGAATCTCTCCTCTTTTTCACAGATATGAAGTTAAAATATAATCGTGACGCTGACTCTATCTTGCCAAAAACTTTAGATGTTTAACCACTTAAGAGAAAATAAAACCACCAGGCATGACGGAAAATACCATTTTGGTGCAATTGTTCAGCAAAAAATAGTGCTGTGAGGTACCGTCAGATCCACCGCCAAATTTTTGTAGTTTTGACTCATCAGTGAAGTTTGGTGGTCAATAAATATGTTTATAAAATATTTCTGGGAAAATGACTTGAGCAATAATCAGGGTGAGCGGTGTTTACCTTTAAAGCTGATAAAAGTCTGACTCAAACTTTTGATTACAGCTGTTTTTTGTTTCACCACAAGTCGAGCAAAACTAGATTGTGAATTTCTTTGTTCCCACTTTGGTTTCACCCTCATGTTAACAGGTTTAAACAGCCGTTTGTGGATTTGTGTTGAAGAAGCTCTTCATACTTGGCCTAACATCTGCACAGAAACTGCACGGATCATTACAAATCATATAAGCCTAATTGTAGAATCATTGATTTTAAACAAGAAAACTAACTTATCTGTTGGAAAGAGAATCTCTCTATCACGTGAAATCATTATTTTCTCAGCAAGTCCAGTAAACGTGCCGTGGTTGTGTTTTAAAGTCAGGAGCTGTAAAAGCCTTTGTCAACAAAGCCTGACATGTCAACACATTAACAGTGATCTAATAGAGTTTGCTATTCTCTGCTGCCTTCCTGTAACATATAGCTGCTATAGCAGCTGTCACGGCCCAAAAAGTGCTAGAGGAGTTTGGCAAGTTCACACTAAAACTGAGCGAGTCCTAGGATAAGTTCACATGGCTCAAAATGACCTTGTCATGTTCGTTTTAGGTTTTTTTTTGTTTGTTAGTTTCTTAAAGCCTTCTATCTTTCAACCCTCAACCCCTAAATCACCAACATTACCGAAACTACATGAAAAACGGTTATACTTCAAAATTATTACGCTTAAACGCTAAGAGAAAAACATATTTTTGTGTTTTTTTTATTATTATTTTTGTATTAAACATATGCAAAACCTGCAGTTATAAAAAACAACAACTATTAAACACACATTTAACTTCACCCAAACATAGTAGTCGTTTAGGTCGCTGGAACGTGTCCTGTCAGTTCATAAAATTCTTTATAATGTTCAAAAGAGCTGCCTTCATGACCAGAGTCGTGTGCGAGCATAAACAATGATATAGCCGTAAAGCTGACTTCGGCAACACACAGCGCTCAGCCCCTGTTAGATCCATCTGTAACACGGGTGGTCTTTCACTGTCTTCAGAGTGACCTACACCCTCGTTCTAGTTGGAAACCGAGGGTGCCATTCAGTTCACTTTAACACAGTTACTTTTTGATGAAATTAATTCAATATATTTTTAAAAACTACTATTATTCTTCGGTCATCTCTAAACAAAGAAAAGTCATGAAGCACTGTTTCTGTTCATAGAAAATAGCAGAAAGAAAACCCCAGTGTTGTGTCAGTAAGCACCTGCAAGCTAAACACAACTCTGTACACTGGTGGTGAGGCCCGTTAAAGAGAAGGGAAATGAGCGTGGTTCTCTTGCTCCTAAACTGCAACAGCTAGCTTTTAGTTCAGCGCGGGGAGGAGAGGAAACTGAAACAACATGAAGATCCAGCTGCGCGCCATGATCTCCTCGAGTGGGACGCTCGACCCCGCAGAGGACGACAGTTTTGCATTCGGAACAGAAATATGGGCTTGAGTTTTTGGCCACGTATCAGCACTACTGTTTGCAATTCACACAAGCAAGTGAATCTTATAATGTGATGAGTTACTTCTGCAAGTAATGTTACCCAACTGTGGTCAGAATCCAAACGTAACGCTCAAACAAATGCTGCAAGAAAGGTTCAACACTGAAAACGGGTAGAGATAAACATACAAAGAGAGAATAGTAGAATAAGACGGGGCTTTAATAAAGTGGAGAAACCATTTCTTCAAAAGTGTATTATTATCCGGATGTTTGAAACGGCGTGGATCACTGTCTCTTAAAGAATTAAACCCTAAAAACCGAACTGCAGTCAACAAACCGTTTGGCCTAAGCTACACCTCCTTGAAAATGTCATGTTTACTGGGTTTCTTAAGAGTGGGACCAACTGATGGGAGCAGACGGAGCGTGACACTGAGCACAACATGGCTGTTTTGGTGAATAGTTTTTTGTCCGCCTGTTCCTAACAGAGTGCCTGATAGGAAGTGTGATACACCCTGAGCCTCTGTCTCCTGTTCATCTTGTGTGGTGACATTTTATTGGATAAGGACGGGGCTCTTTGGTGGCGAGACAGAGAGGGAGTGAGAAAAAAAACAAAACTGGAGAGCCATGACAAGAGAGGAGAAAAATCTTTAAGCACCTGTAGTAAAACACAATGCACGGTTTTGAAAACAGCAAAAGCGAGGAATTTTTCGCGAATGAGCCAAGTCACGTCTTCAAGGCATCCGAGACGCAGAGATGAAAGCAGCATGGAGCGGAGGAAATGGGGGTGGAGGAGGTGTCACCTGGAGGACTGCCTGCTATTGACAGGATCCCAACCAGGCGAGACGCCCTAAAAAACTGACGAAACAGACGCGCTGTGTTGTGGGGAAAGCAGAAGGTTGTTGGGGATGGATGCAGCTGCAGACAGCTGCTTCGAACCAAATCATCAACCTGCTCTGAGAAACAGTTTGGGAGCTGGAGCGGCCAGATGCTGTTGAAATCCCAACAAAAGGTACAAGACGTTCACCCTGGAGTTTTTTTCAACACATAAGTATGTCATAAAAGCTTATGAAAGGCATTCGTCAGCAGCAGGCGAGGCCAAGATAACAAGAGGCCAACAATAGCATCCATTACAATCCAGCAACTGCAGAGTAGGAGGTAGAACACAAGGAATACTCTGTTCTATACTCAAACAGGAGTGTGTCCGGCTACAAGGGCATTTAAAGGGATATTCCAGTGTAAAATTAAGTTGGGGTCAAACACACCGCAACACCGAGTTATACACCCCGTCGAGAGATGAATGTTGCCGACCGCTTGCTTCTCTAATTATACCAACTTCAGTAACGACCGCACAAAAACAAAACAGAAGTGCTAATAAATAAAACATTACAAAAGCTAAAACTGTTACTCTTGCACTGGGCTGCCATCTTGGATTATGACGTTGTCACCAAGTCGGGGCTGGTGAGGCTCGTCCGACTTTCCGAGTCAGAAATCCAACCTCAGGGGGGCGTTCCAGATGAATTTCCGACTCGGAGCTTGGAAATTCTGACTTCGGAGTACAACTGGAACGCAGTATAATTCTCATTAAAGAAAGAGAAAATTCAGGCTTCACCTCAAATCTTGTCTTTCTTATCTTCTTTTTTCCGCTATAAAGTAAAAATATGTTTCTACATCATCAGCAAAGAAGTGAAATAAGACATTGTATCGACCCCGAGGTGGAAATACAGAGAAAATAGAAGTGGGCCCAGAGTAGACCCTTGAGGAACACCGCATGTGAAAGAGGCCGTCTCAGAGAGGTCATATCTTCCAGATGGACTGAGAAAGTTCTATCTGTCAGGTAAGACCAGGACAAACTGAATGCTGCGCCTTTAATCCCAAAACAACTCTTGAACCGAGTAAGAGGATTATGTGATCAGCAGTGTCGAAAGCAGCTGTTAAACGGAAAAAAAGAGGCTCAAGAATCAACAGTTGAATGCAAATCATTAAAAGCTCTTAAAAGTGAAGTTTCAGTGCCGTGATGTGATTGAAAACCAGAAACCAAACTTAAATATGTAATGTATAACTACGAATGTAAACAGCTGAATAACTAACACTTTCTCCAAGACTGTAGATAAAAAAGGGAAGTTCAGAAATAAGCCCAAGAAAGTTGACCCTCATTATTTTCTCAATAATTTTTCACATTCCTGTTAAAGTTAAAGTTAAAATTAGTTAGATTGAATCATCCTCAAATTTGGTGCAAAGTTCAGTCAGAAGTGTCATATTTTTTATTATTGAGATCAGTCTGAGGTCACTTTCTGATCGCCCCTAACTTATACTTTGGTAAAGACACTAATTTTCACTTTGTGAGTCAACAGTCTTTATTCAGCAGAGTTTTTTTCTGCTCCTTTGCCAGCGCTCATGATTGGCTGTCACGGTGGGCGCGGCAGGGTCCATTTCCTGTTACGTCACACCCGTTGGAGGCTCATTTACGAGCAGAGAACCTGAATGATATGTTTACTGTGCGTCTGCATAGATAGGTGGCTTTTGTTATGACTCGGCTGAAAAGCATTTTACTTGATAGCGTGGATGTGGCGATAACAGATGTTTGACTGTCTGGTGTCTCCGTGACCGTGATTCACCCAGACAACAATGGAGGCGAGGACCAAAAATAGTGTGGGAGCAAACATCTGAAAAAGATACTGGTGGTGACATTTAGGATTACATAGCCTTTGTGATATTGTTGTTGTTGTTGCTGTTTGTGGAGGTTTCCATGCCTGCTGTGGGTGTTAACTGATCGACTGGAAACAGAGCGTAAAACAAAGGAGCTTCTACCAAAAATTATAGGTATGAATAATAATCTCTCCTTTGCAAAAGCTGTCCGAAGATAAAGGCAGCGAGGGGTTTTGTTGAGCAGGAAGTTTTGCTTCCAACAGCTTTGTTGATTCAAGCCAAATTCACCAGAAAGACGCTTTAATTCCAGATTCTACGTGCAAAAAAATAATAGTTCTCATGGCGAGAAAAAAACCTGCCAATGAAATAAGAAATAAGTTACTTGTCAGGTTTTTCAGATGAGACATTTCTCATTTCAATAACCCTGAAAAGTACATTTTCACCAATTTCACCAACAGACAGAATTATTCAGCAATTCAGGTCTTATTTTTGTTATATTATTCCTTGAAGTTGGACATTTTCATGGACTTGTCAGGTGACTTTGGCTCAAGCTAAGACGAATAATTATTTTCACACAAATTTGAGTCTTTGCAGTCAAAGGATGGATGTCATTTTCATCTCCAACGATCCCTCCTCAGATCCAGAAAAATAAAATCGTCCATGGCATGTCCTTTAGAGTGGAGAACTGGCCAATAAAAAAATCCCCCTCTTTCTCATATCTCTTGTAAACCAAAGCTGGGCTGCAACATCAGGACTGAATAAATGATGCCGGTGCTTTTAAAACCTCCTCTGCTGTCCGCACACATAAAACAGAGTTAACAAAAACCTTGGAAAGAGTCTGTCAGTATAAAATAAGATGGTAAAGGTAGGATCCAACAAGAGAGAGCCTATTAGAAAGGTCAGGACGTCCTTTACATGCAACTCCAGGTTTCAGTTTGAGCTCAGAAGGTTCCAGAAATATCCTCCGGAGTCTTCTGTCTGCTAAAGAGGACCAACATGAACGACTGGGTCTGAGGGAATTGTCACCACTTTTTACATGGACCTCAAACACAGAGAGTATCAGCAACAGAATCAACAGCAGCAGATTTTTATTAAAAGTACAATGTAGACAGTGAGTGGGAATAAAAGTTGAATCCTGGAAGAACAAAAAAAAAAGTGGTTCTCCATATACTTTGCTATAAAAACCTATTTGTGCTATTAAAAAATAAACAATAAAGACTAGACCTTAATCTAGAGGTTAGACAAGGATTACGAATGTCTGATTGGTCGGTTTTTTTAAATAAGGTCCTTTCAGACCGGGAGCGTTTTTTTCGTGCGATTATTTCGGATGTCAATATTTTTTTCGAACCTGTATCCTGTTAATATAAGCGTTCACATCAGCGACGTTTTCCCGTCCTGTGATGTTGCTGCATTTATTTTTTCATATCACGGTCGATTTTTCTTCTGACCAACCACATTTCGTGTTGTTGCAACGTCAGATTCAAACACTCAGTCTGCTGTTGTGTTAGTCTTCTTGCTTCCACCCGGGGCGCGTCTTTTTTACCCCCAGAAAGTCGCAAAATCTTGATGTGTATATTTCGTAATTTCGCGTCATATTGCATCGCACATTGCGTCGTTCCCGGTATGTAAGGACCTTAAGAAAGGCAAAACTTTGAGCCAAAAAGTCATAATTATGAAACTGAAAGTTGGACATCAAGATTTTGGATGTTCACATCAAACTCATAGTTAAGTCATTTTTTAAATCTCATTATTATGGCTTATTTTCTAAAAATTTTAACATTTTCTCTTCGCATCAAGACCCTGTAACTCAAACTTTTGACTTACTGTCTTATACGTTTGCCTCAATCTGGCGTACTATTGACTATTCCCTCATAATTCAGACTTCTTATCCCCAAATTTTAGCTTCATGTTGACTTTTCCTCTGATTTTTTTGGCTATTGCTAATTATTTTGACATTTTAACTTATTATTATGGCTTTTAACTCATTATTTTGACTTTTTATATCATAAGTATGGCTTTGTTATCATCAATATGACATTTTTATCTCTTAACTTCATCTTTGTATTTTGACATTTAACCAATCATTACAGTTTCCATCTTGTATTTTCAGCTTAGTTTTTTTTTAACTCGATTTTTTGACTTTGTATCACATTAAAATGACAATTTAACCAATTATAGTATTTTTTTCTCTTTATAATGACTTTTTATTTTTATCATTGTGATTTTATTTACTCATAATTTTGGCCTTAAAATACAACTGAAATTCAGGAGTTTTTGTCGCCCTAAGGCTCTAGGTTTTTGTTTGTTTATTTGTTGGGTTAGCCTTGATGGGGAAAATTTGGTTGGACTACCTAACTGGTGACCTACTGGGACAGTTCGTCATGTGTTAAGCTTCTGTCCATTCAGTGGGATCTTTTAAACAGGGGAAGAACTGGAGAGGACACTGAACACAGCATCCCCTCTGACTGTTGTTCAGTTTCAGTACTTTCCCATCATAAATAAGTCCTGATACTTCCCCCTCTGCACCAGGTCTGGTTTTTAAAGCCTCACACTCTGCGCTCTGTCTGTGAACAGAAATAAGATTGAAAATCAGAGAATTGCCCTTGGAAAGGTCCTCCAATGAAATCAGTGGAATAAAACAAAAACAGAAACATTAAAACCAGACCGCAGTTCAAATGCTCACTTGGCAGCGGCACAACTTGTACTCTCGTTGTAATTTGAGCTGGCATCAGTTTCCAAACCTTTATTTATCCAGGGAGGCCTCTGCTGAGCACATTCGCTGTTTTTTTTTCGGCAACGCCCTCCTTCACAGTCACACCTGGGAGCTGTAGTCATCAGTTTTTATGGATAAAAAAGGTATTGGCCTGTCTTTGTGATACACTTTGATGGTATCTTACCTTTGGGTGGTTTGAAACTTTAATGTGTAATCACGGTGAAATCCCAAGAGGCTAACTATCTGCGCTAAAATCATAAAGTATTATTGCATTGTTTTCATAATGGTGACAAACAAGAAAGAGAGAAGACCGAAAAGAGCCCAGGGAAGAAAAACACAGAGCTTTGTCATCTTTTCAAAAAGTCACAATATCATTTAATATAAAACACCTTTAAATTGAACATAATTAAGAGGAATTCATCATCAGGAGATCCACCAATCCTCTACCACTTGAACACTGCAGTCCACCTCCATGGCAGCTGACTTCAATGGTACGTCCGAGTGCACACAGAAAAGGGTTGAAACATGCATTTTACTACATTGTACAAAGTCAAAAGCGAAAAACAGGAGGTCTTTTTTTGCCATTGTCGGCAGAGAGTCTCTGCAGCCTCGTGGGGGATCCAGAGGCACAAAGAGGGGGGGGCACAGTCTTGATAGTTGGGCATGTACAGAGGTGTCCGTTTGTTTCCCGGCACTTATGGATAAAGTGCCCTCCTCTCTTTTAGACCGACAGCTGAAGGGAAAGCGGAAACGTGGTGTGAGGCAGGAAAATGACTCAACATACTTCAGATATTCAAGATAACAGTGGTGGACTCGTCTAAATTTGACAAACAGAAATGTCAGTGCGGCTCCTGAGCTGGGAAGTCCGCACACAGTGTTGTGTAGGTCTCGGCAGTTACCCCACCATGTTGCTGGAAAGGATCAATGAGTGAGGGAGCACAAAGTCCATCCATTATTCTGTACCTATGACCATCCCATAATGGTGCTGCGTTTTTGAACGTCAGACACGACAGAAATCTGCCTCCCTGCTGTCCATCCACACTTTGATAAAAACTCCCCCCTCTGTCTCTCGTCTCATCTACACACACACTCATGTACACACACGCTCAAACTACAGATGCCACGGAGGTGACGGAGGTCACCTTATTGTCGTCCGCCCAGGGCTGCAGGTTCTGCAGGGCGTACAGGGAGGAGTTGTGCAGGCAGAGCGGGTCCGGCTGCAGCGGCTGGCTCAACGTCTTCTGGAAAGCTTCCTGCTGAAGCTGCAGCATCAGCCGGTTGGCCTGCTGCCTCTCGGCCTCCCTCTCCTCTGCAGTCTGTCTCCTGGGTGGACGGAGGAGACAAAAGGGGGACAGAGGGGGGGATAAAAAAACCTATATGTTTGTTTTATAGAGGATTTTATGTGCACAAGATTGACTCATGTTGTGTACCACAGCATAAAAATACAATCTTAGTTCCAGACAGGATAGTTTATATTCAAACAGTGCTTTTATAGGGTCATTTTAAGGGTAGTAAGAAAACAATATTCCTGATGCACATAATTATAGGAATATCTTAGTTTTTTCTGTAGATGTTAAAGGTTTTGTTTACTTTATGTTTTCCTTTCTTAAGTCTCTAAAGAAGGAAGATATCACCATTTTCTCTCTTAAACGGGTCATAACCTAGAACAGCTTTGTTTGGATGAGAACAAACTTAAAAGCTTTTAAATGATACTAGACGGGGTCTCCTCCTCACCGTGCCACATTAACATGATAAAACAAGCTTTTAAAACGATTGAAAACAAAGGAAATGATTTTCTTTTATGAAACCCTGTCAGAAAAAAGGAAGAAGATTTATTGTCTTGTTGTTAATTCACTGCTTTCACACCTATTCAACTCCTGAGCTTGTTCTTCAAGCTTCATGACGGCTGATCAGGACGAGTGGAACCAAACACAGGGAGGGGAAGATATAACAGGTACACCCTGCGCCTCAAGGCGAGATTTGACATCAGCCATTTTCCTCTTAAAGAGTGGCACGCATTAAAGCTCCAGTAGGGAGTTTTCTTAAATGTCTGAGAAATAAACCAAAATTCATAGGGATTCTTTTTATGATACACGAAAGCAAACAAGACCATCAGCAGCAAAATTCACAAGTTTTATACCCTGATTTTTTTTTTTGCCTAAATGGGAGGTGTCGGCTGAGCGGGTTAAGAAGCAGCTTTAATTTGACCTAATTTTAAATATTCACACTAAATTTAAGCTTGAATGGACAAAAGTCAGCCTGAAGAGTTTTTGTACAAAGACATTAATGAAGCATGTAGAAGATGAAATACAGAAAGATTGATTTGTCCACAGGGGGCGCCAAAATCAACAGAAACTCAAAGTTCCTCACGGTTTATTCCAAAATGCATTAGACTCAGCAAATTAAATATTTTTAATATTTCTATAGGAGTAACCAATTTTGTTTGAATACATTTCTGTTTTAATTATGGTTTTTATTCTTGTAGAAATAACCTTCTTTAAGGAACAGTCCGTAGTAGGCATCATTACGGAGGACAATAATAATATTCATAAAATATGTTTAAACGGATGTAAAATCACCTAAACATATAAGTAAACTTGGGATGAGCCATTTAAACCTGCGCATTTTAAAGGTTATTTTTCAAAAATACTTATCACGTACCACAGCTGTGTCTTTCCCCGAGCAGGGGGGCCCTTGATGAGCCTTAAATACTTACATATATCTGTATCCCTCTTACTGTCATGGTCAAACGGAAATTGTCTGATTAATTAAAAACGTACTCAGATTCCCGATGTAGGGTTATGGTTATTTAAAGCTTTTATTTGGTTGTTTGCATGACTGAGGTGTGGTTTTGATGATTATGCTGGTTTGGCTCAGGCTGTAGTGTAGTGAAGTTTGTGTTATCAAACATATATTTGTGTCATTTAGATAGCAGAAATTTATATTTTCATCACATTTTTTGTTATTTCACATACATTTGAATATGAGCACATTCAATTCAAATGTGGGATTACTGATAGAAAAAGACAATTTACTAAATTTAGCAGGAAATGAAAAGACATTTATCCATCCTGAATGACAGCAAATTAAACCTTAAAACATTTACTGGTTAGGATAAATATTAATTAAGCTAAGATGTATAGAATAACCCAGTTTCACGTTGCTTTTGTTGTTAATATCAGCGTTATCTAATTCATTAAAAACAGCCTGTTACTAACACAAATAACCGTTATTACAAGAGTCTAATGAGTTTTGAATAGTAAATTTTGACATGAAACCCTTCTGTTAAATTTTAACCCAAATATTTACTTTTTTTTTCTTTATTATTTTAAACCATGAGACAAAAATCAAAGAGTCCTCAGTATTTAATTGAGCCAAGAATTGTCCCCCCAAATTTTATTCAATAAAATATTAACTGAAGTTCAGCCATTTTGTTTCTCTCATTTTGGTATTATTACATTTTTGTGTTTTGTCATATGCAGAAAAAAACAACAACAACATGAAATCCACATTATATATCAGACATCTGCTAACCTGTACTGGCATCAGACCTTTTTTAAGTTGATATCTGTCGCCTGCTAATGAAAATATGCAAACCCAAGTTTTTGAACAAAGTTTGTTTTAGTTTATGAACTCTTTGTGTGAGTTTTGGCGCCCCTTGTGGACAAAATAATAGCTTTAATTTTTTGCTGATCTTGTCCTTTATTTTTGAAGTAATCTTTTCAGACGTGACTTATCCTCTCTCTGTGTTTTAACAGTTAGAAAAATCACTCTCTGTGGTCTTGTCTACTTTAGCAGCTCATAGAGAAGCCTCACTGTTCATTTCAGCCTGTTTCAGAACCAGCTAAAAGTTACCTACTGGAGCTTTAAGTTTCACAGTTTACAATTCATCCTCATTGAAGTTTACAAAGAGTTCCTGAGATCATTTTAGCCAAGAAATACTCTAAATAGTCCTTAAAGGGCACAAAGATATTTTCCAGCCCCTTTCTATAATAATTTTATTTCTGATGAAACAAACCATCACGGACCAACACTGTCAAAGTCAACAACATACAAACAGCAGGTGGAACTCACAGGCGGAAACACACCTCTGAAACACTCTTTCATACACACCAAGCTCCATCCATTAGCCACACATTATTGTTAACAGCATTATCATAATCTGATTCGCCGGCTGTTGATTTGATCATCCTCTTGTTACTAGCGTAGTCGTCACGCAAAGACATCCCTCATGCTCATCCTATCAGGTGCACACTACAGGGAGACGGCATAAATCTGAGCAAAACTAGGAAATCAGAAAAACGGGTTACGCCGATTCCCTCGCTGCTTGTGACATGGCGTTGGATTCAGTTTGCTGGTGTTTATTTCACATGAATACATCTTTATCTCGTTGGAGGAGGAAATGCATCTCTGCTGGATCTGCTCCTGAATCCAAAGTCAAATACGGACCCGTATTTGCATTTTTAGACAACTCTCAGAGAAATGTCAAAGACATTTACCTCTTTTATAAAGAATAAGATGATAAAAAACACACATGAAATGTTCATTCACTCTGAAAAACTAAAGTTATTAAGCATTTTCTTTGTGCTTGAAACTGAAAAATCATTCTTAAAGTCTTAAAACATTAAACCCTAAGAGGTTATTAGCTGTTTGTAATGCGCTCTTGAAATATGCGTCCTGTCCCTTTAAGTATGGGCAGGGCTTCATAATTTGATTTCCTTCTCATTTACTTCCAAATGGCCATAAACAACAGCTAGAATGAAGTGAACGTGTGTGTGTGTGTGTGTGTGTGTGTGTGTGTGTGTGTGTGTGTGTGTGTGTGTGTGTGTGTGCTCTCTGTCTATGGGCTTGGCAGTGGATTCCTCCTGTGAGTGTTTCAGTATTGCTTTGGACAGCAGCTTTCTAAAAGGCCTTTCAGGACGCTCACGAGTAATTGTGCTTGGTCAAGTGAACTGGCCTCGATTGGCAGCTAAGCTAAGCAAAATAGGTGTTGTGTTTGTGCGGCGTCTCAGATTGTTCCAGCTGCAGGCCAACAATCGAAGCCGGGGTAGGAAAAACTCTCATTTCTGTCAACGTATGGAGCGAGGAGATAAATTTTAAAGGAGTCCTCTGAGTAAAAATCTTCCTAAAAAGCTTCTTAAATCACCACAGCCTCTACGGAGGCAAAGCGTGGCACTAAAAGAGAGAGTTATGGCGCCTCAGCTTTACTATCCCCCACTTTAATACCACATTAAACCGCCCAAGACAACACTCAAAGTGAAGGAGCGCCCTGCTGCAGCCTTACCGCCATTTTGTCCGTCTGTTCTGAAACCAGGTCTTGACTTGTGCGTCCGTCATCTTCAGGGCTTTCGCCAAGGTGGCGCGCTCGGCCGACGCCAAGTACTTCTGCCGGTGAAAACGTTTCTCCAGCTCGCAGATCTGCACCCGGCTGAAGGAGGTGCGGGGCTTTTTCCTTTTGGGCGGCGTCCGGTTCTGGTAAGGGTGTCCGATACGGCGGGTCACGGAGAAGGGTGAGAGGGCAGCTGGAGAAGCAGACAAAAAAAAGGGTTTATTAGACCGAGTTTGATGGTTCTACAGCTGTTTTTAACATCAGAAACTAGATTACTGTGAGTTATTCAGGTTTTTGTGAGTTTTTTATACGATCTGTCTAAACTTATTTCCCTGGGGCTTTTGTTTGTTCGCTCATGTTGCAAACATAATTTTGTTTTCCAGTCCTCGGCTAGATAAAATTATTATCCATTTTGTCTTAACTCTGGAAAAGGCCAGTGTGTTCGGGGAGTCTAAGAGAAGGCCCAGAAGCTGCCAGTTGAAGAAGATAAATGTGATTATGACTGATATTCCTCTGCCAGATTTTGAGAACCAAGCAGCGGTCTGATTCATGCAGAAAGGAAGTCCAAGAATACGTAGGACCAGTTACAGAAACTATTCAAGGAAAAATACGGCTCTTGGTTTGCATCCTAAAGCTGAGCAATGCCAATTCAACACGCCATTGATAGACGTTTTCACATTTTCTTCAAACAGGCACAAAAACATGTGAAATATTGCACATAACAATCATCTGTAAAACATTCAGGGAGGTTGTTTTGAGGGGTAGGGGGTCACTCACCTGGGCAAGCCCCCTTTGGGAAAGGATAGTCTGCTAGAAGGCCATTGCCGTCTCGCAGGTGAGCGAGCTCAGGGTAATAGCATTTAGCTAACGTCTCCACAGTGCTCCAGACAGGGACCCTGCCGATGTCTCCCTTGGGGAGAGGGCAGAGGGACCCGGCGACCCCCGGCCCCCCTGTGGCCTCTCCGGCTCGGCTCTCCTCTGCCTGCTCCCCTAAAGGAAAGGGAGACACATTGAGGTCCCACATCTGGAGCACAGCAGCAGCCAGCGCTGTGCAGGCGCCGACGCATAGCAGCTAATCACATGAAGGATCCCTGAATGATGAGCAGAGTCTGCTTTAACATTATTTACTGCCAGAGACTAAAGTTAGCGTTTGGAAAGGTTTACTTCAAAATGAGATATCTGCCATTTAGACTGATGAGGAACAAGGTGAATGAAGCTCATACCGACCACAAATCAGACAATCACAGTCAGTGCGAGGGTCAAAACAGAACTCTATCACCGTGATTATATCATAAACCCGCTCTAAGCAATGGCACAAGCGAACGATCAATCTTTTTTTATCATGGCGCCAATTCATAAAAAACGTTCTCACAAGAAAAAAGCAGATCCTGACCTTACTGCCTGATATATTATTTACAAAATACAAACATAAAGACGTGCAGAGATACTTCATTCATTTTTCCAGCAGAGTGATTAGATCAAAGTTATTCGACAATATTTAATTTCAGCACTAAATTTCCTCCATACAGACTTCAACATTTCAAAAGTGTTGAATTTTGTCACAGGTATTTTCCACATCCATCATAAGTATCGGCAGTTACAGTATTATACCTATTATGATGTTTACTTTCACATTAAAACCTTTGAAAATACTCAGTTTGGCACAAAATATTCTAAGTTTAATCAAACATTACAACAGCATTTAAATATATATGCATATTTTTGTGTAATTTTGGCTCAAAAGGCTTCCCATACAAGTGTATATTTCTCTGCAGAACTCAAACTTACCAAATTTTAAAATATTCAAACATCTACTTTTGGCTGGAAACATCTCTCACGTATAAATTGAGTATTTCCCATTACAATATCAGACATTTTCTCATTATTTGAAGTTTGTCCTTGAATTAACCTGACGAACATACACAGAAATGTCACTTTTACACACACAAAGCATTGAAACACCATCGACTGACAGCGTGGGTCATCATTTCTTCATAACAGACCTCCTTGATGATGTAAAATGATGCTTATTGTACTTCTCAGATATGTTTATATGCAACTGTGAGTGTATGAGCAAATGTGTGTTCCTATCATCTGCTCCTTACTGCCTGGGTATTAATAACAACTTATCCTCTGCATCATAAAATATCTATGAATCCTGTCTATTTTGTCAGCCATGGGTAAACAGAAGATCAATAAGTGTAACGAGATCGTTTTTGGCCATGGATCCACTCCCCGTCCACATTCTCATTTTGAGGGAGAATGGAAATCAACAACCAGGAGAGAAAAAAAAAAGAGGGAAAACAAGGATCTGAATCCGTGTGCCACTCCTCCCAACAAGCTGTTGTGCCTCCTGTCTTACAGGATGTTTATTTGTTGTTGTTTTGTCAGGGAAAAGCTCACCAGAAGCCAAAATGAATATGAAAACATCTGCATAGGTGTCCCTGGAGGGGGCCACGTGCTGCCACCGCTGCTGCTCGCACAGTTTCTGAAAATTCATTTGCAGCGCAGACGATGACAATTTGGATGGAAAATGGAACATGAAGCGATTATGCACTCGGCAGTCGTTCCCAGGGAGCTGCAGACGTCCCCTGATGGTGCTGAACACGAGTGGCAAATTGAGGCGTACACCAGCAGATGGTTTGTAAAATAGAGATGAAGAGCGGCGGCGTGCCTCACTGTAGGTCACATAAAGTTAAGATTACCTGAGTGTAAATTAACGAAGCAGATTTATGAAAATCCACCGCTCTTTTATTGTGCTTTTAAACTGGAGTCATCGTGACAGTGTTTTCTTTTGCTTCCTCTCATTATTATTTTTAATCTTCTGCTGTAATATGCCTTTAATATTATTATCAGGTTTCACATTATGTGTAGCTCTGATGCTCAGTAGTAGCATAAATGGTAATTGTATCTCACTAATATTCCTTATGGGACTCAGACAGGCATCTATGGTATTTAATCACAAGTTTATGGTAGCAAAATCCCCCTGATGTTTGTGATACTTCTGTGAAGCTTCCTCTCTAACACACCAGCACCTCTGTAACCCTTAAAAGTGAGATTAAAGCGACTCTATCTCTAACATAATCTCATTTTATTGGACTTTTCTATGATGTTTATAGATCCAAACATTATTATTCGCTCTTTCTCGGTTTCTCACAGTCCAAAAAATAGATGCAGCCTTATTCGGGTTACACGCAGAGAGCCAAACAGGCCTGTTGTTGCTCCCAGCAGCAGGTCTGGCTAACTAATACCGCATTAGACAGCTATTTCAGGCCATCTGCGGGGCTAACTAATGGACCAGGCGCATACAAGCACGTTCAGAGGGAACACAAGAGGAACACAGCACGCAGCAGGAGCGTTTGGACACTGACAACTGCAGAGAGAGTGAGCAGAATGCTGAGAAATACTCCACACAGCAGAGTGGTTTCACGTTTAAGACGCAGAACGTAAATATACAGCGTCTCAGGAATCAGATATGCTGCAGGATTATTGCATTACTATAATTATGTTGACTGGATGAGAAACACTGAAATCTTTAGGTTTGTTTTCAATCTAAAGCCTGGAATTCATACTAATTTCAAAATAAAAGACTTTCCCTGCACAGCTGCATCAGTTTTAATGAAATTACATGGATGGAAATAACCATTATCCATGAATTATTGTCATTTTAGCATGCAAATGTGTTGATTATTCCCTTACGTTAAGACAATATTGTCTTTAGAAGCAATTTATCCCACAACTATCCTTTTTAATGTTTATTAAGTAAAGGGACACCGATCTAAAAGGTGTAAAATGCATATTATTTGTACTTGAAATTTCAACGAATACTCATATCTGTTTTGCATTGATGAGGGAATTTAACACAAACAAGACATGTAGCCGACTATAGTTAGAAGATTTCAGTCTTTTCATCCTGCTGAGATAAACAAAGATCTATCATCCTGAACAGCGTGGATAACAGTGAAGCTGCTTATTATAACACCTCTGAGGAGAGATGATGCTAAATCAGTGCAAGAATGGAGAGAAAATCAGGTTCCTGTTTTATAAATAGAGAAAGGAAGAAGGAAAACAAAAGAAAGAGTGAAATGTTTTTTGTCCCCCTCCTCCAAATGAAAAACAAAATGAGCGAGTGTACTAAATGTGCAGCCCGGGTAATACAATTTAGCATAAGCACATGAAAAAATAAAATGCTACCGTGGAGGATGTGTTTCCCATAATAAAAGCAGCTCTACTTAATAACACTTGTGTGTGACAGCGCCTCCCTTCCCCTCTGCGGATATTACCTCTGCAGCAATCTAATAAATACAGCCGTGAAGGATTCTAAAGGGGATATTGAAATATAACATGAACATATATTGCTATTTATTACACTATACGGGACAAAACGCAGGGATACGCTGGCTCCTGTCAGAGAGAGAGGGAGAGAGAGAGAAGCGTGGAGCCACGAGGACAGCAGGAGCGCGTGCAGAGCGGAAATAAAAGCGTGGCGTTTGAGATGTTGAGAGAAAAAAACCCCAAAAGTTTAATTAGGAGTTTTATTGGTGCTACGTGACCGGAAGGAGAGAGTTACCAAACGATACACATTTATTATTATTATTATTATTATTATTATTATTATTATTATTATTATTATTATTACTATTACTCAAATGATTTTAATGAATTTAATTTATTTTCTAATTGTAGTTTTGCGTTTTCTTATAGTGCCTGGGCCAACACTTTAAAAAAATATATGTATTTAATTAATGGGTATGTATCAATTTTATCAAATAGTTTTTAAAAAAGAAGAAAAAAATAGGTTTCTATTAGCTCCATGTCGTGTATCAATGAGACCATCACCAAACATTACGCAGCTGATAAACAACATGAAAATAAAGAAAAATGTTAAATAAAGTGAAAATTTCAAAGTAAAAGCCCTGAGAAAAATGTTGCTTTTAATGTCATCTTACAACCACCAATTATCATGGCCTTTAAATATTATCTGTCTTAGCCTTTTAGTTGTTTAGAATGAGGAAATAAACTTGAAGTCGCTCGAAGATTTCAAAATAAAAGCACAAAGCAGACACGCTAATGTTGATGAACCCTCACAATAACAGATTCCCGTGGCCTTTTAATAACACTTGGCTTCTTTGAGCAGGTTTTAGATATCAGGGTTTAGAAATAAACATATTTAGGTTGAATATTTCAAAATAAAAGACTGGGGGAAAACGCTATTGATGAAACGATACGACCATCAATTATCAAGGCCTATTAATCCCTATACTCCCCACGGCTACTACTACTACTACTACTACTACTACTACTACTGCTACTACTACTAAAAAACAATAGTTTTCAGGGGTGGAATAAATAGCTCCTAAAATATTCAAACCTACTCCACGGAAATTTCAGTTACCTTAATTATATTTAACTTTGAGTAGAAATAAAACCACCAGTCTGTGAATCTACTCCAGTAAAAGCATTTTAACAGACCTGTACTTAAAGTGCTGACTACTTACTTTAATATCATGACGGTGGGAGTGGGGGAGAGTGAGATATGCTTCCCAAATAACGTACTAGCACCTTTCCTCAGACTTATTTTACCGACAGCATGAGTGTGTGAAGTGATTTGGGGTCTGAAGTTTCTGACAACAGTTACAGAGTCTTTTGTCAGTATTGTGACCTCTGTACAATGAAGTCATAGCTGGCAGTGCAGAGAGGCGTTTTATCATATGGGCCAAAAATGAGGACTCAATTGATTGAAATAAGTAAAAAAAAAAATACAACAGGGACGTTTTTGTTTTTTATTTTTTGGAAACACATCTTAAACTAAGTTTTATTTTGACTCGAAGTTAGATCAATACAACAAAATTGGCAAGGATTTACCTTTGTATTTACTAGTATTTTTAAAACATTTTTAGACATTATCCAATCAGTTGACAGCAATGTAGATAATTTAATAATAATAATAATAATTATAATAATAATAATAATAATAATAATAGTGTTTCTTTCTAAATTATGTTTTTAGAAAATTCTGTCTTGTCATATCTTAAAATAAATTTTATTTTGATTTGAAGTTACATCAATTTAATTGCCAAGAATTTATCTTTTTTTTTTTTTTTTTTTATTTATTTATTTTAGACAGTAACCAATCAGTTGACAGCCATGTAGTTCATGGGGAGATAATAATAATAATAATAATAATAATGATGATGATGATGATGATGATTCAATGCTTCTTTCTAAATTATGTTTTTAGAAAATTCTGTCTTGACATATCTTTAACTAAATTTTATTTTGACCATAAGTTTGATCAATTATATTGGTAAGAATTTAGCTTTTTCTTTTCCTTTTTTTAAAGACATTAACCAATAATGAAAATAACAATAATAACAATAGTAATAATGAATAATAATAATAAGAAGAAGAAGAGGAAGAGTAGTAGAAGTAGTAGTAGTAGTAGTAGTAATGTTTTTTTTAGTAGTAAAGTAGTAAAGCTTTATTTTGACTTAAAGTTACATCAATTAAATCAGCAAGAATTTACCTTTTTTTGTAAGACATAAACCAATGAGTTGACAGCCATGTGGTTAATGGAGAGATAATAATAATAATAATAATGATAATAGTAATAATAATAATAAAAACCCTCCAGTAAACAAACAGCTCTCCTCCTTGCTGTGGACTTTTTTAACATCTTTAATCCTCTTCATCAGTCTGATTAAATCCTCGTGATCTATAATGTGAAATTTATGCCACGAGGACTCTTGCCAGGATGACTAATGACGGAAGTGTGTTGTGCACAAAAAACCGAGCAGGTTTCGTTTACATCCCTGCAAAATAAATAAAATCACCATCACCTCCCACGGCTGAAGCTGAAGCTTGAAGCAAAAAAAAAATGTTTAAGCTGTTTAAAGCTGCACGAGGCCGTTTTTTCTGCTCCGGTTTCACCGTGGAGCGCGAGGGGGGAAAACACGAGACAGAGAGGAACATTGAAAAAGCTCCTGTGTCCATCAGGGAGATGATAGTGCATTTGATTTACGGCGTTTTATAGGAAACAGAGCAGGCTGGATGTGACTGTGTGTGTGTGTTACAGTGTGTGTGTGTGTGTGTGTTAGAGTGTGTGCTGCTGTAGCTGATCTTGGCCTGATCAATACAGTGGAAAGATATAAGCTGCGAAATAATTACAGCGACACAAAGCAGAAGAGAAATTAAACGAGAGGCCCTCGGTGACTATGAGGAGAATTGATAAGCCTATTTACACTGGATCTGTTTGCAGCTGACATATCGTCCCCCAGTATTTAATAATTCATCAGCGTAAAAGAAAGCGAAGAGTGAATATTTAATGCGTGGAGACGTGGAGGGAGGTGGCGCCAATCCATGAGGTTCTTCATTTTCAGCTTCATAACGATGAGGTCATGAGAAAAGAGCAGAGGGAACACCCCCACCACCCCACGTCCTATCAGAGGAAAGTCACGTTAAATAAACAACAACTCTGAGGCAAAGTTGTGATCAATTATCTTTACTTTTATTTTGAAAATGTTGATAGTCTGCGTGTCATCAATCCTTAATTCGCCATTTTCTTAAAAATCACGGCGAATTTTTACACGTGTGAGTAAATTGATGACCTGGAAAGGTTCTTCTACGTTAAAATTGTCTGTTTTTGTGCGCAAATGTAGATCTACCTTTCCAAAAATTGGGTTTTATTAACAAAATAAAATTACAAAAGTGGGGGATTGTTACAGCCAAACACTAAAGGTAAAATTTTACGTGGAAAATTGATACTTGGTAATTTTTATTCATGTAGTTTTTTTTTTCTTTTTTGCCTCATTTTACCCTTAGGGAGATTTCCACTGCTCTTTTTTAATGACCACACACACCTGAAAAAAATCACCTTAAAACTAATATAAATATATTTTAATCCTAACCTGAACGTTTTCCTAAAATTAAACAGACGGGAATAATTATTTGGATCATGCAACATTTGATTGTAATAAAAAAGTTCGAGTTTGAAAGATTGGGATCTTTTTGAATATTTTCCTCATGGATAAAGAATCAAAATAAATAAAATCTTCACATATTTAGGGTTAAAAATAACTAATCAATCCCTGTCATGTTCCACTATTATGGCAGTAAACAGAATTACGCACAGGTGTTCTTTCTTCTGCTTTCTCTCCAAATCTGCATTTTAACAGAGAAATACACGCAGCACTTAAATTCATATAAAAAGTTGTAAAAGCGAATCTGTGAGGTCAAAAGCCTCTTCCTGGGCTCCATAAAAGTAAACCAAAAAGTGTGAGTCGTTTGAGATTTATTTTAAGGTCTGTGCGTAATTGGAACATTAATTTGAATGTGTCGCCTCCATAGTTGTGATTTTGTACTAACACAATGACAGGTTAGTGATACCTGCTGTTAAGCTACATTTAAAGCTGCCATATTTTATTACTGTTATGACTCATCTTCCTGTTTTCTCAATTGGCTCCAAGATAAAAAATCATTCATCCTCATGAAAAGAAAGGGAACGTCGTTATCCGTCATCCGCTGTAAATGGAGAGTGATGGTCCAATACTGATTCATCAGCATGTCTGCGCCAATTTCTGCCCTCGTTTATCAGACTGCCCTTCCTGCAGCATAAAACTCACTCTGCGTGTGTTTGTGCGTGAACGATTGGATACGTATAACAACCTAAAGATGAAATCAGATGCACTCTTCAAGAGCTATTAGGCCCACTTTGGCGCACACACGAGAGGCCTGAATTTCAAGAGAAGTGTCAGAATAAGGCAAGACAGGGGAAGTGCAGTAATACTATTTCTCTGTCTAGGTGTTTGGTCTGTTTTTAAGTGAGTTTGGATGTGCGTTTAAGTGCCACAGATCCTCTGGCCTATAACAGAAACACAAATAGGACCAAATGAGCAGCAGGATGACAAGTAAACTCTTGTTACCTGTTAGTCTGTCCTTGGCAAACCTCCTACTGCTCTCCATCCAAGGAAAGGTGAAGTTCGCTGCGTTCCCCATCCCCATCCCGGGCACCGAGGCGATGCCGGGTCCAATGCCCGGCGGATGCGTCGCAGGGGGCGGATGCGGCGCTGCAGCAGCGGGCGGAGGAGGCATGGGTCTGTGCGCCGGCACTCTGATCACTCCACCTGCGCCTCCAGAGTTCACGTTAACGTTCATGTTCATACTAACGTTCATGTTCATGTTGACATTGTAGGACCCCGCCAGACCCGCCGCTGCCGCCATGGAGCAGGCCGGGTTGTAGACGCTGTTGTAGCCGTTGCTGTAGACGTTGGAGGCCAGCGCGTAATCCGGGTCGCCGGTCCGGTTGGGCAGCAAGCAGCCGCTGGACTGGTCCGAGCTGTTGAGGATCTGGTCGATGCCGAAGCTGATGGGCTCATGCTGCTGCTGGTGCGTCTGGTTCACCTCCTCGATCCCGGTGTGCTCCATACTTTCTGCCTCTGTTGTTTCTGTCAGTTTGTTCTAACAATTATTGGATTATTTTTGTCATGTAGCGATTGACGCCTTGGGAGATGAAATGTTTGTGTGTGTGCTGCAGATTTTTTTGTGGTCGAGCATCGACACAGGCCTCTTCTACTCCCAGGAAACCATCATCAGCGTGTCCAGCAGCTCTTTCCAAAATCTTTCCATCATTTTTGTCCAGCAGCAGGATCGGGTGTACCCTAAATTAAAAGCCTTTCCATCGGACTAAGAAAAAGCGTATCCATCTTTAACAGCGCGTTCTTACCCGATTTACTACACGAAGGTAGCCTAACAGCAGGCGGAAGATGCAGAATGGTTATCCTGAGTACTTACAGACAAAAATCCGCGTTTTTGTGGTTTTCTGGAGAGCTTGGATGCGCTTTGTTCCCCTTACTCTGCCAGCCACGATCCACACGCAAAGGGAATGGTGGGGTGTCCACGGCTCGTCGCATCAAAATAAAGCAACAGACGAAACAAAACAAAGCCGGAGAGGCGAAAACGAAGCGCTGACCTCGCAGGCGTGGAGATTAATTGGAGTTGAGAGCGAAAGATGGCTCTGTTGTGCTGAATGGTGAAGTGCGTTTCAGCAGGTGAGACAACCCTCTGCGTAAAAGCTGCCATTCGGTCATCCAGCCAAACCTCCCTCCCTCCCTCTCTCTCCCCTCCTCCTCCTCCTCCTCTTCCTCTGTAGGGCAGTTGTTTTGCTCGGATGTCTTAAAGAAGCCGCAGCTTGCTTTATCTTGTGCAGCTTTTTCTGCTGCTTAACAGGAGAGTTTGTTCCTTTTAGTGGCGCTGGAGGCACAAAACGGGTCAAGAGGTTTCCAAACAGTTTCGCGTCAATGTGCGTCCACATGATCAACATTATTAAGACCCATTTAATCTATCTATACAGGAGAAATCACTGAAATAGGACACTTGAAAGAAGAAGAAAAAACAGTCTAATGAAGAGTCAAAATTAAGTTTTTTTTCTTTACTATTTTAAGGAGAGACTTTGTCCCATTTTAATTCCTCTGTATTTTAAACAATGTATTCAACACTTGGTGCTACAAAATACCTCCCAGTAAATGTGAAAAACTCTGATTCATAGAGGACATTTACTCTATGATAAATAAAAATTATTAAAAAAAAAAAGGGAAATTTAAAAAAAAAAAAACATGAATTTAAAAAGAAAAGATTTGGCATTTTTTGTCCAAAAATAGATGAGAAGCTTTCAGATTTATTTCAACATCAAGTGCAATTTTCAAAAATTTTGTCCCCTTCTTTTTCCAACTTTTAACATTTTATAGTCTGAGTAGAAAATATATTTTCACAAGGTTAAACATTTACTCAGAGCTCGTTCATTTAGGCCACTGGAGGCTTTTCTACAGTGAGATTCTGTTTGGGATCTCTGTTCCACCTCAAAACACTCCTGCTGTTGCTCATGATTTGTTACTTCAGCTGACAGGAGGTTTGCAGCACTTTGTCTTCAAGGCTGCAATTTTGTGTTTACGCTCACCTTATCGCAATTATCCCCCCACCTTATAGCCACTTAAAAGCACACGTCTCCTACATTTGGGTCCACGAGCATTACGCACGGATGCGTATCAGTCTGGAAATTTGGCCTGAATGGTATCGCCCCCTTTTTTTAACACCCTGCATGAGACAACAAACACTGGATCAGATTTATTTGTGCACGAGCTGCTGGGGCAATAATCTGTTGCGCAATGAAGATATAAATCCACTGATATTGACGTGAAACGTGCAGAGTTTAGGCCTGATTCAAAGGCGCTGATTGGCCCACTCTGACGCACGACAACCCAAGTAATGACACTAGATAGATAGATAGATAGATAGATAGATAGATAGATAGATAGATAGATAGATAGATAGATAGATAGATAGATAGATAGATAGATAGATAGATAGATAGATAGATAGATAGATAGATAGATAGATAATTAAACAAATAAATAGTCAGCTCATGATCTGAGCCCCTGAGTTGCTGATTTGCACAAATTATTCCTGCTCTCTCCGCCCGGAGCGACGCCTCAGATCGCCCTGGTCTCAATTCAATAAAAATGAAAAATGGCTGATAATAAAAGCGCGACACGGGGAAAAACGAATTTAATATATCACCGTTTTATTACGCACTTATTTCACTTTCCCTGCGAATAAAGATATCTCTCCACTGCACAAGGTGGCTAGAGGGAAGCATAAAAATCAATTGTGTGGATTCAGAGCCATATCAATAACGGCGCGGGGACGAGGGCAGCGCGAGCGGAGCTGCTATTAGGCCTGTTTATATTTGCGCGTTACAATCAAATGAATAGAGACGAGAGGATGCACCGGGCCTCAGATCTGCTTACTGACACGGTAATTGGCCGTTTATGCAAAAGCAGGAAGATGTATGAGCAGGAAAGTGGAGAGTAATGTTTGAGAGGCGGGTTGGGGTATAACATCAGATCTGTGTCTACTACTGCTGCTGCTGATGGTGGTGGTGGTGGTGGTGATGTCAGCAGAGGGACCGTGAGGTGTGACTGTGCGTCACCTTTAGGCCCATAAGACAGACAGTGAACACAAACACTGGGGTTGTGGAAAAGGATCCACAGACTGAGTGCAAAACTGTGAGTCCCACATGATCACTATGATAGTTTCACATCTGTCCGACCTGATCCAAACCAGTCAGGTTCTTATAGTTCGACCAGGCCTCGGGAATCCTAGACAAACTGTTTCTTGTGCGCACAAAATGTTTGAGTGAGAGAGCTGATTATCTCGTCCACGCAACTTATTATCTAGTGCACACAACTCAAAGTTATTTTCTTGTGCGCACAAGACTGTAGTCCAAGCAGAGGAAAATGACGCACAATTAATTCATTGTTTATATATTTAAACTTGTTTCTCCGCCATTTCTGCACATAAATAAGACAAAGCTGCGGTACATCTACCAGAACAGCTTCAAGTGTCGATTTAAAGGTTTTAAACCAAAAGTTAACACTATAGCGAACTATTTTAGTCACTGAAGATCGGCAGTAAAGGTTTATTTTCACACGGTGTGGCCAAGGTTTCTCTCCTCTGCTGCACTGTGAACCTATACTAGAATTGCGATGACTTTTGGTTTACATGTAACGTGTTTGGTGCGTTTTTCCGGCCATATTTGGCTCTAACTTCTCTAATTTTCTTTGAAGTATTTTTAATTTGCTAAATCCTCCAGCCTAAATATATGTAAATAAATCATTTACATTAAAGTAAAGTAAAATCATCCACAGATCATAGGGAAAAACAAAAACATCACAGTTGAGCCAAGTCCACCAAATTCTCTACAACTGACAAATCAGTGGAAAAACAATCTAACCTGTGACCAAAAAGGCAGCAGACTGAGTGGAGTACAAAGCAGAAACTGACCAATAAGCAAAGATATCAAAGATCTTTCTCATTAATGCATTATACTGCAATTATGGTATTAAATAAGAATATCTGATCTAAGAAGAAATATTTCTGAATATTTCTAAACTGCTTGAAAAGATCCACGGGACAACACATGCAAATGAGGGATTATTACAGATTACAGAACTCTGCAGGATTTATCTAACACTATTAATGTTTCTTTGGGGCAGACACACCATCTAAACCAAGCGTTGAATACTTGGTATTTGACATAAATGTAACATATCCTCTTTGGCTTTTTTTAACATGTCCTGACTGACTCTTTCAGGGTCAGTGTGCATGTGTTCAGGGGCGCTGTATAAGGGAGACAAGCTGGACGACCTTAGAGGCCCATGACTGACTGAGGCCCTGACATATATGTATAATATTTACCATGGTGAAGTGCAGTGGTGCACACAGAGGGGGAGCAGGGCGGGTAAGCTGCCCCTGGTGTGTTAATGATGTTTGAAAAACTGAGCTGAAAATGAAAAATCTTGTTTATAGATAATTATTCTATTTGAAATGTTTCAGTCTTGGGCGACAGGGCAGAGCACCTCAAAGAGGGGGCGGCTGCAAACCTGCAACCAGTTCAAATGAACATACCAGGTGTGAGACAAGAAATTAAATAGAAAATACAAACATGCAGCCTCCCAGCAGATAAATCAAGTTCCTGTATTCTATTGCATTATTGTAAAACGATCAATTCAACCTGAAGAGACATTGAAGATTCATCAATAACCAACAAGCCCTTCCTGAAACGTTCCGAAACTTTTTAACCTTTTCATCCAAACTTCACCTGCACTCAACAAGACAAAATGACCATCTTTAGTTACCTTCCTGTCGCACTTCTAGTCATCAGTCTAACATCACTTTTAGAGGACTGAAACTGTGGAATAATCTGAAAGCATCTCTAAAATCAATATCATCCCTCAACTCCTTTAAAATATCATTAAAATCTCATCTGATCATGTCTTAAACACATCATCATCTGTTATGATCATGTTTCTTTCCTTTCTATGAATACTTATATTGTCTTTATCACTGTTTGATGATTAGTCTGTGTTCCATTTATGGTAATTTGTACCTGTGTGACCTTTCCCTAATCATTGTATATTTGTAACCTGTCTATGTCCGAGTCACTTTGCCGTCTGCACCTTATGCATTCTCTGCCCTGACGGGAGTGGAACTTTGTATAAGCCTATGTGCTAAATAAATACAAAGTACAGTTAAAAAAAAAGGTCCAAAATAAATAATAATCAAAAACAGAAATATGACAATCAAACACAAATTTAAACTTTTGATCTTTTCTTTCCATTTTGAAAAGTGAACACTGATGCTGTTTTGGATATAGAGACTTATTAAAAGCCTTCTCAGATGGATTTCTAATGTATAAAACGTGGTAAAATATTCTAAAAATTCTCTTCCAGTAGAAAAAATGTAGATAAATGTCCTTTTAGTAACTTTACCTTGAGTTTCACTCTTGTGTTAGAACTGCTAGTTTTACTTAATGCTGTAAAAATGATCGATTTGAGTTCTATTGTTTGATTGGTTGTATGAAATAAATCAAACCACTTGGTTTTAAAATGACTACATGAATAAAAAAATGATCAAATCTTACTTTAATGTGAACTTCTAATGTAGCAGGGGTCATCCGGTTATTTTAATAAACTTTTTTGTTTCACACAGTTTAACCTCAATCACAAATTTTCTGCGTGAATTTCAACCACAATATGATAAATGTACAGTTATATATTCAGTTCATTAATCTTAACTTTCTGCATACTGGTGGCCCCCTCTTGCCCCTGCTCCTCAAACAGCCTGAATACACCCCTGCTGAAGTGAAGGCGCCCAAACCCCTGTCAGCGCCCCTGCATGTGTGTTATTACTTTCAAAGCAGGGGATTCCCAGTCCAGTCCACATCACAGACCTGGAAGTGTTCACAGGCTGAGCTTTGGGTCGTTTCCTATAATCAAGTCACGGTGAGACGTTTTAATGTGGATATTTTTCCACTTATTAGATGAATGTGGATCCAATCACAGAGAGTTATTGATAAGCTTTATATCCGGGCAAATACTGAGCAGAATTCTTCTTATTTGATGTGACATGTCCAGATATGTCGAGTGTGACATAAACATTAAATACTCAAATATGCCTCTTTGTCATCTGAACACAGTGTTTGGCTAAAGTGGACGGCTGTTAAGTATAAATATGTGACTTCTAGATTTATGACAGTTTAGAATTAACACAGCTCATACAAAAACAAAAGGAGATCTTTAGACTCTGAGGTATTTTTCTCATTATTGCCGTTAATTCATTTCCATTTGTTCTTGAGTAAGACGTAGAACGACGAATATTCTGTAACTGCCACATTTCTTCATCTAACCACAGACAGGCCCAATGTGCTGCAGGGTTTATGGTGCTAACTTCTGTGAAAGCTGTAAAGTGATGAATCTGCCTCGTTCTTTCCAACTCTGTGTCTTAATGTGAAAGATTCATTATTCAGTTTATTTCTCTGTACTACAAGACACCGAAAGGTCCTGAAAACAATAGAAAAGGAAACCATAAAAATCTAATTTGCAAACTAAATTCTTACAAACACTCTTCGATTTATGTATTTCTTAAAAATTGGCATCCAGCAGCTCAAACGTTTAGAGATATTAGACTCAAAATGTAAAACTGTGACCGTCTCCTCTTCAGGCTTTTCTTTATTGAGCTTGACAACCTGAGCTCACTCCACCAGACACCAAGTGTCCCGTTTCATTATTCTCATTATTCTGACTGTTTACTGTGATTAGTTCCCACGAGCTGCTCCTCTAATGGAGCATCAGGGAGTTCGGATGTTTTTTATTTAAGTTATCTGATTTCTAATAAGTATTTTGGGACTCTTCAGACTGATATGTCACTTTAAACTCCAGGAGAATTCTGATCATCTAATGTGTTTGGGTTTTACTTTCACACATTTTTCTGTCTGTCATCTTCATTTGGATTTCAAAATAAAAGTCTAAGAAGTCCAAGAAAAGGGGATTTTGATGTCAATTTGGAGTCAAATCCAAACAATTCCTGTTTTTTCTCCATCTCTGTCCCTGATAGTTCACTCTGCCGATCAAAACACCGTTTGGAGATAAATGATTAATTTATATGAACTGCTTCTCACCCTGTGTTCCTGCTCTAAGCATTTCATCCGGCTAGTTTCAGACATCTCAGTCTGCAGCAGCAACTCCCCACTTCTCCCACAAGGATCATTAAATTCTTATCTAATAAGCTATAGCTGCAAAACGTGAGGGAATTTGAATTATTATTTTTTAAATAAAGATCCCTGACTTATTATAGGCTGCCACTATTAAACTGGTTATAAAATAGGCCAATAGGAGGTCTGCCTATAGGTTTCAGACGCAAACCTGACATGATGCTGTGCAGGATTGTAATCAGCAATTTTACTAATGCAATAAAAGCCTATTGCCAATTAAGATACCCTCCCCCCTCTCCTTTACACACTCAACACACACACACACACACACACACACTCCCTCTCTCTTCCTCAATATGAGCGCCCTCCTCTCTGCCTCATGTGCCCAGAGGCGTTGTCTTTGGTTGCCGGCTGTGCGTGATGAATCGTTATCTCCAGGCCATGCAGCTCGTCTGGGTAATAAAGTACCAGCAAAGCGGAGACAAAAGGAATTTGTCACAGTTGCCACCTCGATATATTAGCGACCTACTGGTCGGTTTAGCTTTCATTTGGGGGGCCAGGGGCCTGCACACCAAATTAAACCAAACAGAAAGAAATAAGAGGTAGAGAGGAGAGAGAGGAGAGGTAAGTAATGAGCCAGCAGAGGTTTGGTTCAGGGGCTGGAGGAGGCCATTTAAAAATAAAAAGGAGGATGTAGAGCTCCTGTTGGGCCTCATACAACACTGATACTACCTGCAGAATTATTCAGCTCCTGCCTCTGTGGGGTTGACGACACTTGACGCTATTTACGCTTAAGTTCACGTCTGATTCAGCCAATCGGAGCAGGTCTATTTTGTCTTTTCATTACATACAGGATATTCTATTCAGTGAGAGCCAACAGACCTATGAATAAAGACCAGTTATTTCATTTCAGGGACGCCTTTCCTGTTTCTACATATATATAGAAAAAACTGCTAACAAAAACAGGCAGAGCATGATTTTATGGAAAACACTCGTGCACGGATCATTAAAGTGTCATCCACAAGATTTGGATGATACAAATTTACACACACAGCACTGGTTACAATCATGCTTACTTCAACACTTGTGTGGTACTTCATTTTACTCATTTATTCCTTCTTTCTTCACCATATGTTTACACTGAAGAGGAAAGGTCCTTTTTTACATTTTATTTCTTTAGATTTTTCACCTCCATGTTTATATTTTTGATTAAACTGTGAGTTTGTGCAACTGCATTTACCCCTCTATGGATTGATAACGTATTTCTTAGTGTGACACTGCTTTGACACAGTTAGGAAAGGTATAATCACGAGTTTAACTACAAATAAAGCTGTGTAGAAAATCCCTCTTTGAGTATGTAATAGATCCAGGGTTGTATTTGCGATTACAAAAGCACAAATATTACACAAAATTAACGTTTAGACTTTGCAGCCTCTCTTTTTTAGAGTGTATTGAGACATACAAACAAAAGTATTGGTGTCATTATATTGCAATGTTTGAATTGTATTTTAATGTTAAAAACACACTGACTGCAAATTCAGGTTGTATATTGTGCACGCCTTCATATTCAAGCTATAAGTAGTTACTCTAATTTTGAGGTCACAGCTCTAAATACACAATATCTTATTGTTCCTTTTAAAAATAACAGCTTAAAATGGTTCAGTAATACTTAAGCTATCTAGAGATATTTTAAAACTGCAGCTCAGTCCAGCGATCGTGTAGAAACTCTCTCATTGTCAAGACGATTAGCTTTTACTGTTGTTACACATATTGCTAAACGTTGTGTGTTGTTGTTGTTGTTGCTCATTTAGGTTTTTACTTTTCACTGTCTGTGTGCAGAGAAAACATCAGGAGTTAAGTCATCTGAATATGACATTTTTAAGTATTTTAGTTCAGAGGTATTTGCTGAAATTTTGCCTGACCAGCAGATTTTTTTGTCTAATGCACAATCAGAAATGGAGCTGCATGCTTAAACTCTTTGGCCGGCTGTCAGCTGGTTGTTTATGGAGTCTTATCCGAATTTTGAATAAAAACAAAAACCCTTTGAAAGGCCACAGCAGACAGTAGGAGAGTCCGATAATGGACGTCTAGCCGCCAAGCTGTCCGATAACCTCTGCGTTTAAACTGACAGCTGAAATGACCCGCAGAGAGAAAGAGAGACGAGGGGGGAGAGAAAAGAAACTGCCTCAACAATCAAGGATGTCAGAGATTAGTGTGACGAAGGCTGTCATCCTCCTCTTCTGTGAGGTTCAAGTTCAGAGAAAAAAACAGGTTCAATAGTCGGGAGGAAGGGTTCCAACTTTCTTTATGATCTTTCTTAAAGTTATTTAAAATCTGCAGGATCTGAGAAGGTGCCCCTGTCCGTCCCCACCCCAGCTTTCTTCTACTTTTAAAAATCTCACTCACTAATAAAAACATTAAATTTGTCATTAAGTGAAGTCAGATAATGAATCCCATCACGTGTTATCTCACTGAACTGCGCTTTTCCTCTGCGTTGCTCTGATCCAATCACTGTTACTTTCTGTTTCTCACATGTAAATCTTCCTCTGTATTCTGTGGACTGTATGGAAATTAGCTGTGCTCTGCGGTTTCGTTCCCCTGATAAGTTTAAGTGTAGAAACCTCGGGCGTTCATGATACTTATGTTTCCTGTGATGACAGCTTCTCTGATGTTACAGAATTTCCAAAAACTGCAGTACCTTGAGTGTCCACTTGAGGCTGGCTCCAAAAGCCCATGAAGCTCATTAACACTCATGTTAAAATGACCTCCTTTAGAGCAGAGTTGAAGCCTGGTATCTAAACAGTTAATTCAGTAACACTTTCTTTTATGGTTCACTTATTACCAGGTAATTAACAGGTAATTACCAAGTGAAAACATGAAATTATCTGGTAATTACATAATAACTACTAAGTCAATACTGTCTAGCTACCAGGTACGTAACCTCCCATCATCATAAAAATTTGAAGCTGAATTGTTCTGGTATTTCCAGGATTTTCTCCACTTCCTGGAACTACCTCTTGCACAGTAGCATCGTAGGCATTCGGCGGGTGAGTTGCTGTTTAATTATCCGGGATTTCCACCGCATCCTGAACGGTGGCAATTTTTGCCATACGCCAACTCCTACCACATCCGTTTGTCAGGGGAATTTCGTGGTGGGTTACAGACAGCAGGAATCATGAGAACACACAAGAACCTGCAGATTCACGTGCAATCGTGCGATAATAAGTTGTCTTTAGCCACATAGGCTAACTATATAAGCAGTAGATTGTGTCCTTCAAGAAAAGGAAATCTACTTCTAGACTTATAAAATCAGCATCTCCTCATCCATGGTGTCATCGAGGTGAAATGACGTCTATAAACCTTTCACTTCTTCGTCCCCGCCTGTTTGCATGGTGTGAAATACAATCTGAGTGTTTTATTTTGAAAAGAAGACGGATGTTTTATTTTGTGTCTGTGCCCGACTTCCTTTCCGGCACAGACTAATCTATGCTGAATCTATCCGGCATGCTCCAGGTACGGAAAAATTTGAACTCTTGCGATCAACTGCGGAGTCTGGCAATCCACAGCGGAATGGAGAGAAGCCGGTGGAAATCGACACATAAACTTGAATAGTTACGATCAGCTACCATCGATTGACTTTTCGTAACCCTTCCGGACGCGGTGGAAATAGGGGGTAATGCTCTTTTTTCAGTGAATACATTCCAAAGTAAAATAAAAAATATATATAAATATAATTAAATCTGATTTTACTTCTACAGATGTCTAAATAAATAAAGTCTGTACATGCTAACACCAAGGAGAACCCTCCTCCTGCTGCTGCTGCATCCTGTAAAACCCCTTTTCTTCAGAGTGTTTAAAGCCAGGCTGCTGAGACGGAATAAGAAGCATCTGGAGGATTTCTCTACCCTCATAGTGTTGGGATCTGTATCAGACCAGAAAACCCACAACAGAGCCATCCCGCATCCCCCTGAACCCTCTTTCCTGAGAGTGTGGAATTACATTATTCTGCATTTGGAGGGCTCAGTCCTTGACTCTTCGCCTCCCCTCGGGGGAAAACCTGGCGCCTCCTGCCCGAGTCAGACGACTCGAAACTGGACGGAGTGGAAAGGAGGAGAGGAGGTGGAGGTGGAGGGGGGAGAAAGAAGGGGAGGAGGGGGTGAAAACAGAGAAAAAAAGAGAGTATGAATATCTGAAAAGCAGGCTGGGGACCGGAGGATGGAGGGATGTCATGTCGCTGCGTTGCAACGTTACAGGCCTGGAAAAGGTAACCGGATTTGATTGTTTTTATCGGTTTATTTACTCGGATATTGATCAGTTTATCACCGCTGTAAGTGTTGATTTGTCTTTTTATAAATCACCATTAAAATCTGAAGAGGATTCTTTACTTAATTCATACAAAGAAAGACTAAAAAAAAAACACGTTTAAACATAATTTCTTATGAACTCCACGTCAAATAAATGCGTAAAAATAAGAAATTAAACGTTTCCACTCCATCTTTTGCTTTTTTTTTCTCCTTTAAATGCAAACAGATCCGTTCGTCTCCAGAGTGTGAGCTGTTTGCCTCAGATAAACTTATCGATTAGACATCAGTCAGATTCCTGGCCGGCTCTTATTGAGTAACTTGGTGAACCTTAAAGTGAATTACAGGAACTGCTCTGCCCCTCCGGTGAACTATTTAAGCCCAATCGGATTTTCTTTGATAAAGACCATCTATTTTATTTACTCTGATCGCCATTTTCATCGAGGGGATTATTGTGAGGGCGAGTTTGTGCAGGTTTTGGAGAGGAGAACGAGTTCCTGTGGCGCGTAAATCATTTCAAATCCTTCCAAATTAAAATCATTTAATTCAGAAATAAATCGAGACTTGGAGTATTATATTCTTGTTGTTGTTCATTTTAATTCACCGTTTAATTTTGCAGCTGATGTTTAGTCAGTTATGAAACAAAACGTGTGCCATCACTGATTCAATATGCATTTCTCCTTTTTTTTCTGCAGGTGTCGAAATAAAAATCAACAATTTCACCTAAAGTGCAGCTTCCAGAGGATGCACCACTGAAGGATGCATATTCTCCACTTTAGGGTTTCTGCACCAATCTCTCACCTTTGCGCAAAAATTTCCCTTCGTGTAAATCAATAGTGGCGTTTTTCTTCACAGGTGCAGTAAATTATACATGTACAATCTCAAAAAAAGGCGTTTCAAGTGCAATAGAAAATGCATGTTTTGACGCTGCATGCAAAGATTTAGGGACTATTTACGTTCTTGCTGTTTGCTTTGGTTTGAGGACAAAACCTCTGCATTTGTTTCTGCTCCAGGTTTGTGCAAACTGCTCGAGGCCTATTCAAATATAAGTAGGCAAGTGAGGAAATGAGAAAGTCAATAGATCCTTGCAGAAAAGTACAAAAACAAACAAAACTGTCCGTGTATTTATCCTCCTTGTCCATCCCTGACTCCTCAGTCCAAACCCCGGGCTGCTCCTGCTGCTGCTGCTGCTTGGAGAGAGCTCATATTATTGGGCTACACATGCGTCGTATTGAAGTGTAATTGGCCGTATCATTGGCTTTTGTCTTGTTTACAAAGCGGCCAACAGAAGCGCTAATTTAATTTCCTCCGCCGCATTGAGGAGCCACCAGCCGCCTGTCAGGGCCGGGCTCTGCCTCTCCTGCCCCGGGCAGAGCAGGAGTCTGGCCCCGGGCGATCCTGGAGAGGGACGAGGGTAGAGGAGGAGGAGGAGGAGGAGGGTGACATCTGCCTCCAAATAAAAGCCCCCATGAAAAGACAACCTCTGCTCTCATATGGGTCAGCTGACAGAATTCATACACATTAAAAGTTAGCTATCCCTTTAATGCCTGAAACCACGAATTATGGCCAGAAAATTCACATTTTTGTGGAGCTGAAATGTTTATTTCACCTACTACTGAAAACCAAAATTATCAAAATGTTCTTAAAATTTCAATTTCAAAGTGCCTGACAGAGACTAAAAACAACAATTAACAACAATAAAACACAAACCTCCCACCCACACACACGGACTCACACACACACAAAGACAGAGTGTGAGAATTTAAGATATATCGTTAAAGAGACATGGCCTGACAGCGAGGAAAGAGCTACCTTTGGGAAACACTGGAGATAAAAGATAAAAAATAAAAAAATGGTAAAAGGAAAGAGTAAAACCTGATGGACTAAAACAAGAAAATAATATTAAACGAACAGATGAGTAAGGGGTAAAAGAAGTAAAAACCTCTAAAGCAGGAGTTAAAAAAAGACTAAGAACAGAGATGATTAATTAAATGACATTGATTAAAATGAACATTTGCAATTAGAGGAATATAAAAAGTCAGTTAGTAAAAAGCCTGGTTTAATAAAAAGGTGAGTCTTGAGCCTCTTTTTAAAATTTAACAAATATATTTATTTATCTCGTTTGATACATTAGATGTTTTTGGAAACTGATTAACTACAAGAGGACATTTTTATTATTCATCAGACTGTATTCAGGTGGTTTTTTTAGTAATTAGTTGATCATAGTGATTTGACAGAAGTATATAACAGTATGTATCAAATATGACACAAAAGGCATTAAAGGGTTAAAAAGTTAAATTCCGTTAAAGAAAACTGGAAGAGTTTATTTTAGGAGCATCTTCGTCAAATTTCTTCTAAATACCTTAATTTGTTTTCATTGAAACAAAAAAAAAAATCCAGTTTATTTTTCTGCATATGTTTAAATTCTGACTACAAAACTGCAATAACTTCATATATTTTCATCATTTATCAGAGCTCAGTCCAGGTTTGTTTCTTCCTGTTAGTTAGTAAGATTAAAAAATAAATAAATAAATGGTAACACTTTACTTGACGCCTATCTCTATAACACATTATAAATATATGTATAATGCATTATAACGTGTTACGACTGTTAACAACTCACTGACAATGTCCACATAGATAATGCATTATACATATATTTATGATGTGTTATACTTTCTTTATAAACTTGCATAACTATCATCGTAAACACCCATTAATTATCATAAGGCTTTATAACTATAAGCATAACACATTATAATACCTGACCTTGTAAGTCATGATAAAATGCTTTATAATGTGTTATAATCATTGCTATAAAGTATTATGATCATTTATTAGTGTTTATATCTATAGTTATACATTGCTATGATGTGATTATAATGTATTATACATATATTTATAATGTGTTATAGAGATAGGCGTCAAGTAAAGTGTTACCCAAATTTTGATTATCATTCTTTCTGTTGTTTGGAAAACAGCTCAGACGCTGTAGTGATAATAAGCCATTATAAACTGCTTTGAGAGTCCTCCAGAGCTGGATTCATTGATCATGTTTATGTGGCTACATTAGGCCTGATGGATTAACCGAATATGAGGAGAAAAAGGAAGAAGAAGAAGAAGAAGAGGAGGATGGACAAAAGTCGATTTTTGAAACACTCGCAGTTTATAATGATGATCACCGACTGGAGCCTGTTTGCCTTTTCATTAACGGATAGTCCATTTAAAACACAAGAAGAAAATGATCGCAAATTATTGGTCAAGTGGAGGCCATGAAGTACTCCAGGAGTATAAAGAAAAAAACAGCAACTAAAGTCAAATTTTTCATTTTTTTATTTTGTTGGTTTATTTTTTATTTTTTTTATTTTGGAGCACATGATTTCATTATCTTGTTGTAACAAGTTTTTATCTAGTGTACACATCCTGTTTTCCATGCACCAGTCTTAATCTTGCGCGCTAAAATAATTCTTTTGAGGGAACAAGAAAATGTTGATATCTTACAAGTACAAGATAATAAATTGTGGACATAAGATGATTATTTTACGAGTTCATTCTCTTGTGCACCGCATATATTATCTTGCAACTTCTTAATTATCTTGTTACCATGCTACAACTATCTTGTGAAAACAAGTTTTTATCTTTTAGCAACATCTTTTGGAGAAAAAAAAAAATTATCTATAGTATCTGCTGCCAAAATCAACGTAATATCTTGTGCCCCCAAGATAAAACATCGTACACACAAGATACTTGTTCTGTGTACAAATACATTTATTATCCTGCGCGCTCACTTTTATATTGTGAGTTAATAATGTGTGGGCAAAATGTAGTAATCTGCTTCTGCAGTACGTTGATCTTGTGCGCTCAAGTTAATATCTTGTGTGCACAAGTAATCTTGTTTGAACAAATGATAGTACTGTGTGCACAATGCGTTTATCTTAAAGAAAAAGTGATTATCTTGTGTGCACAACATGCTGTTTTGTAGGAACAAGTTAATATCTTGTGCAAATAATTGATTATCTTGTTAGAAACAGTTATCCTGTGTGCATTATATTATTATCTTGTAGGAACAGGTGAATATCTTGTGTGCACAGTGCATTCATCTTGTGGGAGGAAGTTAATATCTTGTGCGCAAAATTAGTTATCTTGTTGGAAAAAGTTATCCTGTGCGCATGATATCATTATCTTGTGGGGACATGTTAGTATCTTGTGTGGTTACTTGCCATATTGTGGGAACAAGATTATCCTGTGTGCACAATGTGTCTAACTTGCAGGAATGAATTACAACTCTTTGTATTTATTTTGTTGCGGCAGGTTAATCTCTTGTACAAGTTATCCTGTTTGCACAATCTTGAGAGAGCTAGGTTTTCTCTTCTGCATATAACACATTTGTTTCATGTACACAAGATAATAACTAGATCGCACAAGATCGTCATTTTACGAGAACAAGATACAATAATTTCTACTAAGAGGCAGTAACCTTTTTAAAGTCACACTCTGCAGTTTTTAGGCCGTTTTATTCCTTGATTGAGAAAATGAAAATCTCCTTTCTAATCTGGATCCTTGCAGAAATTAAATAATGAGTGAATGTATTTCAAACATGAAGGAAAAGGGCTTTTTTTTTTAAATTAACTCTTTGTTGACAGTGTACACAGCCGAGGAAGAATGAAACACGCTCAGCTGCATGTCCATCTGTGTGTGTGTGTGTGTGTGTGTGTGTGTGTGTGTGTGTGTGTGTGTGTGTGTGTGTGTGTGTGTGTGTTTGCCAGACCAGAGCACAGATAGAGAGAAAGAGATGGCACATTAGGCCTGAGGGTGCATCATTATTAGACAGCCTGGCTTCCCTCCCTCTCCCCCTCTCTCTCTCTCTCTTTCTCTCTCTTTCTCTCTCGTCCAATCACAGGAGCTGTTGCAGGACAAACAGAGCCTCGCTGAATGTTGCACAGCAGCAGCAGCAGCTTCCGTGCGGGCTCAGCTCAGTTCCTGCTCTCTAATTACGCCATGATACAATGCAATATTCCTCTGCAAATATTCCCACATAAATTCATTTCACAACCCATTAAAGATACAGCGGGTGAGATCATTTACATCGCCGCGTCCCAGTACGATACAGCGTGCAGCCGGCTTTTACAACACCGCCAAATGCGCCAAGTCCCCTCGGTTGTACAGCAACCTGGTAGGCATTAACTCAACATAATGTCTCACAAATTAAAGTATTGCTGGGGCTACCACTGCGGCATCAGATAAATGTGCTCTATTAGGAGGCCTCATGCTGTGAGCAAAACAATTGATTGCTTGTTTGTGTTTTCATATGGCGTCGGTGAAACATGCAGAGTGATGGATGAGGGCCCGCCATCTCAAGTTGCACTTAGTCAATCGCTGCCGGTGCTCTCCTCAGCTCAAAACGAAGACTCAGACAGTAAACGTGCACGCGCTTTTATTTTTTTTAACCAAGTTTGGAGGCAGGAGACGGTGCGGGGAGGCTGATGGGGGTTGAATCTGGGCCAAAAAAGGCAGATGTCGTGGAAGACACACACTGCAAGGTGTTAACTGCAATCTTGCTCACACTGCAGGATGTCATGTTCAGTTTATTAATGCTGCCTGAGTAAGAATTTTATTTTGTTAGTTTATCTCAGTTTCTGAGTCTTACTATGATGAAGAGTCACTGGAGGTTCATCTCTGTTTGACAGATTCAGCTGTACCCCCTGTATAGAGCTAACAGGAGTCCAAATAAAGTGGGAAAAGTGTTTTTTTTAACATATTTGTCGCCACAATCTAGTGAGAATTAACCATCTATAGATAAATAGACCATTTGGAGAACAAGGGAGGCGGGTCTGTGTATTATCCATCCATTCAATTATTCCATTCAATCTAGTAAACGAAAGAAACGAGTCAATATTTTGTTCATTTGTTTTTCTATGTTGCTACAGGACTCCTGCGTCTCCTCTTATCTTCTGTATCTTCGGGTCATGAGCAGAATCAGTGTTGTGACTTTCAATCTGTGATCCAGTAATGAATACCTGCTTGAAGCTGTAATCATCCACTTAAACCATTTGGATTCAGCAGCTCAACCTTGTAATGGGATTATTTCCTTTTTCCACTGGACTGCTCTGCCTTTAAACTGGGTTAGTTTGGAGATAATTTAGTAAGTACATTGAGTAATTTGACCATTATTGTTGTTATCAGCTGCAGACATGAAGGGTTGGTTCAATATCAGGAAGTTTACGAATGAGAAAATAAAAAACAAAACTGTGATAATAATGTAAAACACTGACCTTTTCAATGTTAAATAAAGATTACTGGAAAAGATTTCTCAGTTATTTGGAGATTTTTATTTTTGACTTACTAAAATACAAGACTGTGAATCTGGGTGTTGTAGAAAAGAACTAACATGTTTGTGCATCAGTCTCAGCATTATGTTTGTTCAACTTTGTTTCACTCATTAGTAATATTTTGAAAGACTCCACTCATGGATGATGGGCTGTATATAAACTACATAGCTACACCTCCAGTTTTCCTCAGTCGGAAAAAGGTAGATTGCCTTCTTCAGGTTGGAGGGGAGATCCTGCCTCAAGTGGAGGAGTTCAAGTATCTCGGGATCTTGTTCGGAGCGGCATCAGCAGTGATGCGGACGCTTAACCGATCTGTCGTGGTGAAGAAAGAGCTGAGCCGTAAGGCGAGACTCTCGATTTACCGGTCAATCTACGTGCCGATCCTCACCTATGGTCATGAACTTTGGGTAATGACCAAAAGAACAAGATCGCGGATAAAAGCGGTTGAAATAGGTTTCCTTCGCAGGGTGGCCGGGTTCATCCTTAGAGATAAGGTAAGGAGCTCGGACACTCAGGAGGCGCTCAGAGTAGAACCGCTGCTCCTCCACGCCTGGAGGAGTTAGCTGAGGTGGTTTGGGCATCTGGTTAGGATGCTTTTTGGACGCCTACCGTTAGAGGTGTGCCGGACATGTCCCACCAGGAGGAGACCTCGTGGCCAGCCCAGGACCAGGTGGAGGGATTATATCTCTCACCTGGTCCTGGGAGCTCCTGGGAATCCCCCAGAGGAGCTGGTGGAAGTGGCTGGGGTGAGGGCCGTCTAGGCTTCTCTCCTGAAGCTGCTGCCCCCGCGACCCGGACCCGGATGAAGCGGAAGAAAACGACGGTGAGCTAAACCTCTAACCGGGCTGCCCTGATAGGATATAAAGTACACTGAGCTTTCTAACGAACCACCTGGCTTTGTTAAATACTTGAAGCTGATTGGTCAAACACCTAAGCAACAAAAGTGACACTATAGGACGACTGTATCACATCAACTTTGGCGCCCCCTGTGGACAAAGCAGTTTTTGCTTTTCTTGTCCTATACAAGCATAAGACGTGTTTACAGACAAAAAAAAATCTCATCCAGCTGACTTTTGACTATTGCATCTTTTTTCCAACATCTAGTATTGACAACAAAAAAAAGACACCTACTCCCTCGCACCAGCTTCAGGCACCAAAATAACAACTTTGTACATCGTAAGAAAGCATCCACATAAACTTGAGCCTATTTCAGAAATGTCACAAAACTCCTCAAAGGAGCTTTAAATATAGAGATAATACTGTTATTGTTGAGTGCTCCTTTAAAATGTGTTATTTTCATGTTTTTCTTACAACCTTGAGTACAGTACCACAGACGTGAGATGAAATCTGTTACCCTATCATTTTATACACTCTGTAGATACAAGGAGAGGCTGCATGCATGCACCAAGAGTGAAGCACAGCACCTAAGCGGCATGTTCTCTGTGAGCGTCTCATGCTTGATCGCAGTCATTACTGTAATCTGCTGCTATGAGTCCAGGTGAGAGCGAGCAGAGTCTCTGTGAGGATATCACTGCATTAATTGATGTTTAGCTCGATCAGTCTCATAGGTGCTGAGTGCAGGTGCAGTGGCAGAAGTGATGAGAATGCCCTCCCTTTGCTCTCAGCCATAACTCACTTCCACCTCTAAAATCACCCTCTCAAAACCTCCACTCCTAAAAATATCTCCGCCCAGTCGTAAAGGCCAGCGTGATTTAAGCACTCATATTACTCTGAGTGATTAATATTTGGCACACAGCAACAAATAAGAACAAAAATGAAGCGTACCTCATAAGAAATAGGATTTATACATCATACTTATGGGGTTGCAGCTGTCACTTCTCTTTAAAAAACGACAGTCATTGTCTGTGCACGGATTTAGAAACTCAGGATAATAGAGAAAAATGTTGGGGGTATAAGAGGAAAGGATGTGTGACCAGCTGCAGGTTTTCGTGCACTCCATACTGAGTATCCTGCTGTAAGCTGGGTGTTTTATCCCGAGGAAGAGAGCAGCCAAGAGGAGGCCTGGCCCGGCCAAGGCAGCTAATTACATTTTCCATCTCGACAAGAATGGAGGATTCCTTCCTATGTTATTAATCATAATGAGGGAATATAATAAGCTACCATACATCATGCTGTTGACAGTCGTAGTTTGCCATTTGCAAGCCCAAGCATTCTTCTTCTTTTAATGGCCGTAAACTGAATTAATGTACGCTGAGTTCGATGCCCGTAATCAATTGTGGATGAGATTTAAGGCCTTTTAGCCTCACCCTCCAAGAGTCTGGACCCACATCAAGTACGTTACCGGACAAAAAATCCCCTGTAGGTGTTTGTACGGTGTGCATGGATCAGAGTGTGCACACAAAACTGTTCTCCTCTGTGCTTCAGAATATATTTATATGACTCTACTGCGCTCGCTGAATGCAGTTTGGGGGGTGAGTGTCCTACTCTGATGCCTTTTTGACAACTTTATAAAACATATCGAACATAATTGTATTTTAAAAAAATCTCTACATGAAAACCTTCAGTCATTATCACTCAGTGCCTTTAAAATGCATTTAGCTTTTCTTTTAGAAAGTTTCCTTAGAAACCATACACCGTAGGGGCTTTTCTTCTGTCTGCATTCGCACTGCTGTGATATGAAATTTAAGTGACGAGTCGACCGACAGTTATTTGCAACGTCACTCACTCATCCGCAGCAACTCCGTCTCCTCTCTTTTCTTCTACGCAATAATTAAAGCTTAAATTTATCAGCTTACATTCAGAGTCTGTCGCTATGATTTCCTGCTAACGTTCAAGGAGGGAACATCCAACTGGCGATATTACACGACATGTTGATTGAAGTATGGCGGAACAACGCAAACACTTTAACACTGCACTATGTATGCTGCATTCTACTTGTACTCGGAAGTTGGAAATTTCTGAGCTCTGACTCAGAACGCCCCCCTGAATACAGATTACCAACTCGGATAGTCAGACGATCCTCATCAACCCCGACTTGACGACAACCTCACAATCTAAGATGGCAGCGCAGTGCATCAACAGTAAAGAGTAACAGTGAAAGCTCTCGTAATGTTTTATTTATTAGCACTTCTGTTTTGTTTTTGTGAAATTAAATAGGTGGTTTATGTTGTGCTGCCCAACTGTGAACACGGTGCTATGGTGTTTGAAGAGTAAAATACTGCGTTATGCATTGTTTACAACTGGTACAGCTAACAACAGCCAACAGCTGACAACAGCTTACAACAACTGACAACCGTGAACAACAGCTAACAACGGCTAACAGTAGGCGTCCATCTTGTTTTTCTGACTTGTTTACTGGAACGCCGTGAACTCGGGTGTAACGTCATTCCCAGCTCCAACATCTGACTTTCGAGGTAACTGGAACGCAGCAGTCGTCCTCATGACTACACACTCCTGAACCAGGCTGAGGAAGTATCTCCTCTGATGCAGACTTCAGGAACTAAAATAGTTCATGGTTCCTGCAGTGCAGAATCAGTAAGAGGGGAAAGGTCCTACAGTTCCACTGTTTCTCTGCCGATGGTACTGAAGGGAGTGTTTTGGTCCACAGTGTGACCAATATTCCCATTTCATCTACTGTACCTTTAAAGTCATGCATATTTTACGTTTAACAAAAACTCTGAAGAGTCGAAAGTGTTGTGAGAAGCTGGTGAATGTATCTTCATTACAGCCTAGGAACTACTTCCATTAGGGGAAAAGATGTGCTGAACAGATTCAGTTGTATGGCTGCAAAATGCAGAAGTTTCCTTTTTTTAATGATGCCAGGAAGCATCAGTCACATTTGCAAATTAGCTTCAGCTTAACTTAGTTTTTAGAGACTTATAAGTGGAAATTTACTGGGTGGGTGTTCGTTTATATTAGTAAAGTTGTTTACGTCTCAGATCTGATGTTGAAGGCGACAGAAAGCGCCACACAGTAAGCCATATTTCTTCCTCTGTTGTCAGCCTCAGCATTTCTGAGTCAACTAAAGGGAGCCGATTCTATCACTGTGTTTAATAACAGTGAGAAAAATGAAAAGATCCTGAAGGTAGCTATACCTCCTGAACGGCTATCTGGAGAGAGAAACAGCACTGCAATGTAATTTATCGTGACTGAGCTCGCAGCCCCCGGGCTTCTCCTCTCCAAGAAAAAAAATCTAAAAAACTAACAAATAGGAAATAAAGGCTTTTCTCCTCTTAATCCTGCTCACCTTAAGGGTGAGAGACACAGGTTAAAGACTTCACAGCCGTCTACAAGCCAGACAAGGTCCAAGTCAGTCTGGTCAGTGTTTCGATAACTTCATCAATCCTGGAAAATGCAATCAGATACAGTCGGACTCGAAGCCGCCGCTGCCCTCTGGGAGGCTGAGAGAGACATTCATTTTGGCGAGGAGGGCACACAATCTCCCTTTTGTAATTAAGAGTACCCAAATAAACTGTGTGTGTTAGCCCTGAAGTGGAACAGTTAGAAACAAATAAAAGGCTAATGAAGAAATGATTGCTCTTTTACAGGAAGAGGGAAGAGAAGGAGTCTGAGGGCAGAGAGCCTCTTGGACGCAGCGCTCCAAACTGGCTTTGCTCACGGTTAAAATCAAATGAGGACGAGTGCGTGCACGTACACGTGCATGTGATTGAGCCTTATTTAAGAGCTTATTAAACTGAAATATGTGTGGCTGTAGAAACGGAAAGACAAGTAGACGGTACAAGAAGTGGTTTAGATCACTACAGCGGTCCCCGATCGAAGCTCTTGACTTTTTCTCATGAAGAAATCTACACGATTGAAACAAGGTAGATTGCTGTAACATGTGTGGATCTAATTTAAAGTCCTATGAGTTACTGTTGTCATTATTTTTCATTATTCATCATATTTTCATGAACCGAAACGAGCTCAACAAGTCCGATTTTACAGCCTTCACATAAACATCCTAAAAACCTGGTTCACTGACTTCCTCTCATCATTAGTCTCGTACATCCC